AGTTGGACCACGGCCTTTAGAAGGCCGCGGTGTTTTGTACACATCGGGGGGGTGGGGTGGGGTGGGGTGGGGCATGTAAAAACGTTCATGTAAACTTGCGGAGGAAGGACATGCTTGTCTGTGGCTACTGTAAGTTCTCTGGAACGTTCCACTCATGCGTCATGCCACGCTATTGTAGGTTCTCTGGAACTTTCCACTCATGCTACGTTACTGTAAGTTCTCTGGAACTTTCCAATCATGCGTCATGCCACGCTATTGTAAGTTCTCTGGAACTTTCCACTCATGCGTCATGCCACGCTATGTAAGTTCTCTGGAACTTTCCACCCATACGTCATGCTACGTTACTGTAAGTTCTCTGGAACTTTCCACTCATGCGTCATGCCACGCTGTTGCAAGTTCTCTGGAACTTTCCACTCATACGTCATGCTACGTTACTGCAAGTTCTCTGGAACTTTCCACTCATGCGTCATGCTACGTTACTGTAAGTTCTCTGGAACTTTCCACTCATGCGTCATGCCACGCTATGTATAAGTTCTCTGGAACTTTCCACTCATACGTCATGCTACGTTACTGTAAGTTCTCTGGAACTTTCCACTCATGCGTCATGCCACGCTATTGTAAGTTCTCTGGAACTTTCCACTCATACGTCATGCTACGTTACTGTAAGTTCTCTGGAACTTTCCACTCCATGCGTCATGCCACGCTATTGCAAGTTCTCTGGAACTTTCCATGCATACGTCATGCTACATTCCAACATTGCCGGCACACAAACGTTGGACCTGTCTTGGAAGTCTTTGCACGATTTCTTGCCAGCTCACATGGTTTTGAAACACAAAGACCGTGGGCATTCGACGATGCACCCGTCAGTGACACAATATGTGTTCATGTGGTGCTGGCGTTGTACCTTAAACAATCCAGATCCGCAAAGGTTCTTGGAAGAACTCGAAGCGTTGCTGTGACCAACACAGGAATCAAAACATGTCAGGTTGAATATTTTGAGAATTCTCACAAACCCCAAAAATGGTAGTTTCGTCTAGGCGAAATGCTTGTTTTTGAAAATGTGCACCAGAATACGGGGTTAACGGCCTTAAAAACCGCATCAAAACATGTCAGGTCGAATTAGTTTGGGAATTCTCAAAAAACATCAAAAATGGTAGTTTCGTCTAGGCGAAATGCCAGTTTTTGAAAATATGCACCAGAATAAGAGGTTAACGGCCTTAAAAATCACATCAAACAAAATCCTATTGGCACGAGCACATCAAAAATCATCCATGATACACCGTTGATCACAAAAAACCCACGGCCCTTGTCCTGCGGCGGGGCGTTTTGGCAGGGCGACAAGGTCATTCAGTTTATTGATCGGAAATTTCCATCGTCCGGTATCATTAGAAGATGTTAATACGCGTAGATTCTCATGTAAGGACACATTCTCATTCTCTCTCCGCTCTCCCTCTCTCTCTATATCTTCATCATCTCTAGATCCGTGCATTTTATATGAACTGGTCTTGCCAAGTATGAATTTCGAAAGCGCAATCTTGAAGTTGCACACCATTGCTTATAATTAAGTACCAGTAGTACCGCACAAGGCGGTGGCGGAAGTTTCAAAAATAGAAAACCTATAGGAGAGGTTGGTTGTTGTGAATCAGGGATGGCAAAACGAATCCACTGTTGTTGTTGTTGTTGTTGCTGTTGCTGTTGCTGTTGTCGTCGAGGTTAGGGTAGTTGAGTTAGTGAAGTTAGTTAAGTTAGTCAAGTTAGTTCAGTTAATCAGTGTCTACTTTTTCGACATCTTCACGTCAAAAAAGCCTCAAAACCCTCAGTTTTTTACACTTTTGACTTCGAAATGTGCTTCGCGCCACAACGGCGTGCACTTTTTCGACACTTTTTCGACATCTGAACCTCCAAAAGCGGTCCGAGACCGTCAGTTTTTAACACTTTTGACTTGGAAATGTGCTTCGCGCCACAACGGCGTGCACTTTTTCGACATCTCAACTTCCAAAAGTGGTCCGAGAATGGTGTGCTTTGTACATTTTGACTTGGAAATGTGCTTCGCGCCACAACGGCGTGCACTTTTTCGACATCTCAACTTCCAAAAGTGGTCCGAGGTTGCGGTGTTTTGCACATTTTGACTTCCAAATGTGCTTCGCGCCACAACGGCGTGCACTTTTTTCGACATCGCAACTTCCAAAAGTGGTCCGATCCTCTAGTGTTTTGTCCATTTTGACTTGGAAATGTGCTTCGCGCCACAACGGCGTGCACTTTTTTGACATCTCAACTTCCAAAAGTGGTCCGAGAATGGTGTGCTTTGTACATTTTCACTTGGAAATGTGCTTCGCGCCACAACGGCGTGCAATTTTTCATCTCTCCTCTGGCCAGCTGGCTCCGCACCCGCCGCTTTAGCGAGCCTACTTTTCGACCCTCTGGAGCCACAAATCATTGGAAAAACACAGTGTTTCGCGACTTTCCTACCTTTTCGCGCATCTGTATCTTCTGTCTTCTTACTCTTTCTCTTCTAATCTTCTTTCTTCTAATCTTTCTCTTCTCTATGCCTCTTCCCTGCTCTGCTTTTCATCTCTCCATATTGTCGGAAGTTTGACTTCTAAACTTCCTTCGATAATGGTTTGAAATGTCGTTAGATGGAAGATGGAAAGTTGCCTTTAATAGCGAATAATTATATAACTGATGTGGCTCGTGGTCATCCCGGGCCCCAGCTGCACTCCCCGGCCTACGCCTCCAAGTGCGCGAGCAATTCGCGCACGAGGCGGGCCACCCTTGGTGGCCAGGCGCGCGCCAAGTGGTGGCGGCGCACGTTCGTCAAGCACCGGCGAGCAGCCCTCTTCACCCGCTTCTTCACCCGCCGGACACGCAGGATCTCGTGCATGGTGCCGGTCACGATCTCCTTCGATGTGAATCAGATCAGGGCGGGTCCAATTTAAGGGGTCTAGAATTATACAGATAGGCATAGCTAGATCGTAGAGGCATACACACACATAAAAATATATAAATAACAAATATATATATATGTGTGTGTGTGTTGATATTTACATAAACAGTATATCTAATTACTGTAGGTGCGTAACCTTTTTCTTTTTTTTTCCGATTTTTCTGTTCTATTGCATCCATTGATCTTTCTGAACTAAGCGATGTCTCAATCCTGAGTGGCCGATCGTTATCATGTCTATTTATGAATATTGGATATTGTTATCTTTAGACCTGATAAATTCTGTTCTCAAGTCGTTGTTCGAGGAAATGTATCGGGTCATCGGTGATCAACCTACCTGCTCAAGCAATCTATGATAGAATCAGGATATATATATATATAGTTGATGGCGCATCATTCGCGCTATTTAAATAATTCTTTCGAGGCAGACTGATTGCAATTTGGTTGGTCCTGAGCGGTCTGCAGCTCCATTTGAGCCGCGCTCCGCGGCGGGTTCTGCGAACATTCTGTCATCAGCTAGCTGATCCTCACGGGCCTGAAGCCCTTCCTCCGAAGTGCTTGCCGCACCTGCACGTCGGTGCCGAGCACCACCTTCAGCCGAAGGACTTCCCGCTGGGAAGGGCCAGGCATGGTTCTGTGCGGGGAGGCGAAGGCGAGAGACGGCTTTGTTTGTGCTTTTCGCGGCTGCGGTTCCGCATTTGGGCTGTGATGGAATTGCAGAGGTGATGGAATTCCGTCCGGAATTGCAGAATGATAATCAATCTACTTAGTCATCTACTTCCCATTATCCCCAAAATCAATATCCATCTATATCAGGACCTATCATCTATGGCCAATGTTCTTCCGACGGAAGAAGGCATGCTGGTATCCGGTATAACTGGTACAATGTATTCATCATATTTGGGCTGTTGCGCCAACCAAATTAATTTAGCATCCCTTAGCACCCCAGACACTCGGCCAAGGTACCAAACTTGTGGTGCGCATCCGTGTACCAACTTGGCCCAGGAGGATGATTTGAGCTGCTGTGCGTTGCTTCTAAAGGCCGTGCTCCTAGTTTCACCCTTGGGATCACCTTTGGGAAGCAAATTAGGCTAATTACTTCTAGGTGGAGCAAACGTATTGGGAAATTCAAGCGAGTCCAGTCTGGATTTGTGCTTGCCCTTTCCTTTGCCTTTACCTTTTCCTTTTTTGCTCAGCGCATCAAGAGAGAAGAGCACATGCTGAACATGACCAGGTGTTCATCTTTTGGTCAAACATGTCAACCATATGTCAACCATATTTCAGCCATCGATTAAGCCCATAGAAACCCTATGAAAGTAACACTTTTTAGTTCTATCCCATTGAAAAAAAACTGTTCCCATTATAGTGACAGACAACCACTTAGAACATCACTTGGAAAACGCAGTTCCCAATTGTTGCAGAACATGTCTAAGTGTGTCTTCAGGAAAAGACACTTAGAACATCCCACAAAATTATAATTGTTTTTCGTTTGGAAAACGTTTGATATTCTAAGTGGTTGTCTGTACCCTCTGGTAAACTAACATAAAAAAACGATGGAAAGTCATCATTAGTCAGTGAAATTGCCCATGAAAAATGCTGGATCTTTCTGGAACAAATTACCAGAGGGTACCATCTGGTTACCCTCTGGTGAACTAACATAGCAATGGAAAATGGCCATTTATAGTGGATTTTCCCATGAAAAATGGTGATTTTCCATTGCTATGTTAGTTCACCAGAGGGTAATTGTTACAATCCGCCATGGAAAGATCCACCATTTTAAGTTCGGTAAACTATCTATTTCTATGGACCATGGCTTCCCTGCAACAAATAACCAGAGGGTTACGAAAAAAAAAGATCTCCCATCCACCAATCAGTGATTATTAACCATTAACCATCATTAACCACGATTCTATTGGTATATAATCCCATGAAATAAAGATGATTATCCCATTATAATAACCAGCAACCACATAGTTATACTATAGCTATATCTATCATAAACCATAGAATTCAGCACAACTATAGTTAGATCTCCCATTGAAAAACCCGTTTGAAAACCCTATTTTTTTCGCCGGTGCCATCGCCTGGGGCTGTGGAGCGCTCGTTGAATCTCCGCAAAGACCTGCCGACTCGCGAAGGTCTGTATGAAAATGAATGAGACATCTCAAAATGGGATATTAATAGTGGATAATAGTGGTAAATAGTGGCTAATAGTGGTTAATGGTGGTTAATAGTGGTTAATAGTTAATACTGTAGTGGTTAATAGTGGTTAATAGTGGTTAATAGTGGTTAATAGTGGTTAATAGTGGTTAATAGTGGGTAATAGTGGGTAATAGTGGTTAATAGTGGTTAATAGTGGTTAATAGTGGGTAATAGTGGTTAATAGTGGTTAATAGTGGTTAATAGTGGGTAATAGTGGTTAATAGTGGGTAATAGTGGGTAATAGTGGGTAATAGTGGGTAATAGTGGGTAATAGTGGGTAATAGTGGTTAATAGTGGTTAATAGTGGTTAATAGTGGTTAATAGTGGTTAATAGTGGTTAATAGTCAATACTGTAGTGGTTAATAGTGGTTAATAGTGGTTAATAGTGGTTAATAGTGGTTAATAGTGGTTAATAGTGGTTAATAGTGGTTAATAGTGGTTAATAGTGGTTAATAGTGGTTAATAGTGGTGAATAGTGGTTTATAGTGGTTAATAGTGGTTAATAGTGGTTAATAGTGGTTAATAGTGGTTAATAGTGGTTAATAGTGGTTAATAGTGGTTAATAGTGGTTAATAGTGTTTAATAGTGGTTAATAGTGGTTAATAGTGGTTAATAGTGGTTAATAGTGGTTAATAGTGGTTAATAGTGGTGAATAGTGGTTAATAGTGGTTAATAGTGGTTAATAGTGGTTAATAGTGGTTAATAGTGGTTACTAGTGGTTAATAGTGGTTAATAGTGGTTAATAGTGGTTAATAGTGGTTAATAGTGGTTAATAGTGGTTAATAGTGGTTAATAGTGGTTAATAGCGGTTAATAGCGGTTAATAGGGTTTAATAGTGGTTAATAGTGGTTAATAGTGGTTAATAGTGGTTAATAGTGGTTAATAGTGGTTAATAGTGGTTAATAGTGGTTAATAGGGGTTAATAGTGGTTAATAGTGGTTAATAGTGGTTAATAGTGGTTAATAGGGGTTAATAGTGGTTAATAGGGGTTAATAGGGGTTAATAGTGGTTAATAGGGGTTAATAGTGGTTAATAGTGGTTAATAGTGGTTAATAGGGGTTAATAGGGGTTAATAGGGGTTAATAGTGGTTAATAGTGGTTAATAGGGGTTAATAGGGGTTAATAGTGGTTAATAGTGGTTAATAGTGGTTAATAGTGGTTAATAGTGGTTAATAGTGGTTAATAGTGGTTAATAGTGGTTAATAGTGGTTAATAGTGGTTAATAGTGGTTAATAGTGGTTAATAGTGGTTAATAGTGGTTAATAGTGGTGAATAGTGGTTAATAGTGGTTAATAGTGGTTAATAGTGGTTAATAGTGGTTAATAGTGGTTAATAGTGGTTAATAGTGGTTAATAGTTTATACTGTAGTGGTTCATAGTGGTTAATAGTGGTTAATAGTGGTTAATAGTTAATTTAATAGTGGTTAAAAGTTAATTTAATAGTGGTTAATAGTGGTTAATAGTGGTTAATAGTGGTTAATGGTTAATACTGTAGTGGTTAATAGTGGTTAATAGTGGTTAATAGTTTGGGTAATAGTGGTTAATAGTGGTTAATAGTGGTTAATAGTTAATACTGTAGTGGTTAATAGTGGTTAATAGTGGTTAATAGTTAATACTGTAGTGGTTAATAGTGGTTAATAGTGGTTAATAGTGGTTAGTAGTGGTTAATAGTGGTTAATGGTGGTTTTCCTGCGTGGTTCCTGTGGTTCTGGTGGTTCCTTGTGGTTCCTGGTCGGTTCCTGGTGGTTTCCTTGTGGTTCCTGGTGCGTTCACTGGGGTTCCCTGGTAGTTCCTGGTGGTTCCTGGTGTTCCTGGTTGTTCCGGTGGTTTCCTGGTGTCCTGGTGGTTTCCTTGGTGGTTCCTGGTGGGTGGTTAATGGTGGTTAATGGTGGTTAATGGTGGTTAATGGTGGTTAATGGTGGTTAATGGTGGTTAATAGTGGTTAATAGTGGTTAATAGTGGTTAATGGTGGTTAATGGTGGTTAATAGTGGTTAATAGTGGTTAATAGTGGTTAATGGTGGTTAATAGTGGTTAATAGTGGTTAATAGTGGTTAAATTGAGATACCCTCTGGTTATGACTAACATAACCATGGAAAATCCCTCATAAATGGAGGTTTATAGCTGGGAAATTCATCTATAAATGGGCCATGGCTTCCATGGCTATGTTAAATAACCAGAGCGTAAGATATAATGATGTACACGTATGATCTTAAGATTAATTTATTATGTATATTAATATGTGTACACATATGATCTTAATCTCTAATGATGCGCACATATCATATCATATTAAGATTAACTAAGCATGACGTACATATCATATCTCACCTATTCATGATATACACATAAAATTAAGAGATGATTTGTATGTATCCATAAGATGAATTGTATGATCTACACTCTCTTTTTTAAATATACATCAAACATCTCTATAAATGATGTACACACACATATACAAAAATGTTCATGAATGTGATTATATGGGTATATAATTTTGTATATGGCTTCATGTGTGTACATGGATGTTTCTTAAAATGGGGGATCCCCAAGTCACCATGGCTGTTTCAATACAAAGTCATGGTCTAGTGACTTGGATGATTTGGGGTACCCCTGACTTAAGAAACTTCCATATTGGGCCTATCCCATCTCATTATACTAGTTGGTTTGATAGGTTTCCCTACTATGGGTTATACTAATCCTCTAAAAAAACAGGTAGTATAATCCTTTGTAATAACCAATCAACAGGGGTATTCTTCATGGTTCATATGTGTTGGGGGAGCATACGGTTGCAATACCATTGGATGCGACTCAACAAAAATGACGACTCGCCTGTGCTTTGCGCTTCTCTCCTGGTAGATTCACTGCACCTGCCGGTGGCCCCATTTCGAAAAGGGATCCTCAAGGGATCCTCATGGGATCCTCGAGGAGGGTGTAATTGGCTGAAAATGGATAAGGATGGTGCCTTTTAAACGGTGCTTTGAATGGGGTTATATAATGTTATATATACACCATTTCTAGCCGATTGATAGTTGAAAACGAGTCTCTGAAGTGGTTTCAACAGGCTTATGTTCTACAAAAATGAATGGAGTTATACTTACTGCTACTCCCATCACTGCGAGGTGCGTCCAGATTTGGTATATATGGTATGGTCATCTATCCCCCGAAAAGGAAACCTTACAGGTATATACTTTGGGGGTTCCACTGGCCATTTGTGTCATTTGTGGCCTTGGATTTCACCATAGTTGTAGGGTTCAAAAAAGATCCCAACTTTTAGAGGTTTAAATCCCATATCAATGGGAATTCCAGGATCCTAAAATGGAGGTACTGTACCATATAAGGCCAATTTCTGTAAGGATATTCCCTGAAATTTAGGCCTAAAAAATAGGCCTTACATAGGCCTTATGGTAGGTACCTCCAATCAATCGGATCCTGAAATGGCCATTGACCATATGAGTTATACCATGTTATACCCATGGAAAATCCCATGAAGAATCCTGAACTGCACCCCGTTCAGTTTCTGTCCCTGGTGGAACGGTTGGATTTTTGCGAAAAAATCAGATCCCACACGGACGATTTCGATGATAACCCCCCAACGAAACCGAAACACATGGCTGGTTCGGGGATGTTCCCAGCTATAAACCTCCATTCATATAGGGATATATAGGGGATGTTCCATGATTTTCCATGATTTTCCATGATTTCCCCATCATATTGGGCCCCCAAAATAGAGGGTATCTTCCCGCTTCACAGGGCCTGAAGTCTTCAGCGTGTCTTCATAGGCGCGATTGCAAGACAAGCACCTGCAAGGCCCAAGGCATCCATGGTTGGGGTTGGTACCCCCATTTCGACGAGTTCCAACCCTCATTTTTCGTGGATAACAACATCAGATCATATAACTATATGATGTCCTTAAACATTCTTAAATTGGGTTTTTTGTTGGAGATCATAATTGTATGGGAGGTACTATGGATTTCCAATGGTTGCTTCTTTTTGCAGTGGCAATTAGTTCCATTTCATCCGTGGCAGTGGTACTTTCGAGATTGAGGGCAAAGGCCATGTGGTAAATTCTTCCCATCGAACAATCCCATGAATGGCCATGAAGTTTCAATTAGTCATACTAGTGGACATTAATAACCACTAAAGGCTATAAGAATGGTGGGTAAAAACCATGATGCTGATTTTTGGCTTCGCCTCATTCGTAACCATAGATTTCTAAGTGCCCCATTGGAGTATGGCATACTGAGAATGCCATCCGCCATGGAAACTCAGCCATCAAAAGATGCTCCTCCTGAGTAGATGATTTACTCGGGTATTTCTATGGCCATGGCTGCCATGGCTGAAACTACCAGATCATCAGGTAGCAATAAGTAGCCTCTATGGCCATGTTAGTTTGGTTCGATCATGTTCTTCCGGGGCTCCAAAAGCCACCATGGTTATTACCCATGATAATTACCATCCCGTGGCCAAAGAATACCCAGTGGTTTCAGTACAAATGGGGGATCCCCACCAAGTCACCATGGGCCCGTTGAACAATACGCGTCGTCATGGGTCATCCATGACGACTGGATGATTTGGGGTATCCACTTTAGGAAACCCTCATCCACAGCCATTCTAGATCATTTTCCTGCGTTCCCGATGGGCTTTCCACATCGTTTTCCTCATCGGCCCTCTGATCGGACCTTGCTCCAAAGAGCACCGCTTGCTCTCGGTCTTTGGCATTCTGGCGAGAACGCGCGGAGTTTCCAGGGGATTCGTATTGATCATATGGGAGGTCTCAAATCAATATCAGTTGCTTCACCCCCTAAATATCCTTGCAACATTTGCTCATGACTAATGATCCCATATCGTGAGTCTGCGCCCCAAAAAAAAATTGAGATTGAAATAGTTCATCAATTGCAGGTGATGCTAGACTTTTTGATCCTGCTATCTCCAGTAATCAAACGTTGCAATGGAAAATCCCCTGCAAATGGACGTGTTAATCCAAAAAAACATCTATAGTGGGGGAATGTTTGACTGCCGCGTTTGATTACCGGATGGTATATCTTAGCATAGATGTTCATTTCAAGTTGTTTGAAAACCCAGCTGCCATATGTGTCGCAAAAAGTTGAAGTCAGTTCAGATAACTTCCCATATAATATCCCATGTTCATCACATTTCAGCGCTTCATATTTCAAATTACCATGAAAAAGACCCCATGATTGTTGGTTTTAAGTTAAGCTATACATACTGTGTTCAAATTGAACCCCAAATTGTGTCCCTTTTTTAATGGTATATCCAAGCATCAACCATCAACCAACCATCACCAGTCACCAGTATCGTATATATCAACCCATCAGGGGTTGATGTTGAAATAAATCTAGTGGTTGATGTTAAAATAGTGGGATTGGAATAACAACATCCAGATGGTTATAGCATAGTTGATGTTTATATATGTTTTGTAACAACCCACAAAAAATATTTCAACATCCAGTATGTTAATGAGAAATAAAATGGATTTGACGACCTAAAGATGGTAAAATGAAGCTCTAACGTATCAACAAAAACATTTGACGAGCTATATGAAAGGTAAAATGATACGTTAGACCTTCATTTACCGCTCTCAAAGACCCTGGCTGAAAACAAAAATAACATTTGGAGATGGGTCGGGGCCGGATGGCTTGCCATCTGGGGGGAAGAACCATCCAAAATAAGCAACGATTTTTTGGGCTACGTATTTGCTATTATATACATCAGGTACTTTTCCATATGGAATATACATATATATACATATATATATGGTTGGTGGTATACCTACCCCTCTGAAAAATATGAGTTCGTCAGTTGGGATGATGAGATTCCCAATATGATGGAAAGTCATAAAAGTCATGTTCCAAACCACCAACCAGATATTAATGGGATATACTGGATATACATTTAGTTCGTTGATTTACCTATTCAAAATGGTGATTACCTGATTACCTATTCAAAATGAAACATGTTCCAAACCACCAGCCAGAGATTATTAACTAACCATCATTAACCACTATTATTGGTATATAATCCCATTGTAAAGATGATTATCCCATTATAATAACCACCAACCAGCTAGTTATACTATAGTTATATCTATCATAAACCATAGTTAAACCCATATATACATATATACATTTTTTTGGGTACCTACTGTGCCAGTGTTTTGACTCATAACTATTTCGTTCCTGGACGTCCCAGCCATGTTTGATTTTCCACCGGTGCGGGCAACGTTTTGGAAGCATCCACAGGTGTTTTTTCCCAACATCCAGCTTAATTCCATAAAATTTCATTAAAATCACACTAGATCTCATAAATTTTGAAGAAAAAGACCATCAAAATCTCACTCATTCTCATTCAATCCAAAAAAAGACACTAAACTCCCATTAAAATCCAATTAAAACCACATCAGATTCCATTCAATTCCACTAAATCCCATTCGGATCCCATATTTCCCTGACTCGGCGGAGGTTCCTCCTCCATGGCACGCATTTTTCCCGCGAGGAATTGGAGTTGTTCTTCCGCCTGGTGCGAAATGCTTGGTAACTGAGAGGCAAGAGGTGAGTGGGCAGTCAATGAATGCTAAGATGAGTACTATATATATATATACTAGATATTATATTATACATACTATATATATATACACTATATTATATACTATATATATACACTATATATATACTAGATATATACTATATTATATGGTTATGTTGTTAGCACTTTCGTATCAAGGTTGACGACATATGTAATATGTATATATGTATATATATATATACATATTTACAACATATCTTACATATTATATATATACATATTTACAACATATCTTACATATTTTATATGTATATATACACACATGTGTGTGTGTTAAGCAAATTTATGTATATAGATATATGGGTTGGCAAGTGATACGGTTCACCCCAATTTTTAGGCCCATCACAAAGCCTCCCAAAAATCTGGGTTTGGTGGTGTGAAACATGGTGCTGTACTCCCATGCCCGAAAACATGTTCGCAGAATCCCAGTTCGATCGTCGGAGTGGTTTCCTCCAAAGTCCGGGATTTTATGGTGGTTTAATGGGATTTTATGGGATTTTAATGGGATTTATAGTGATTTAATGGGATTTATAGTGATTTAGTGGGATTTATAGTGATTTAATGGGATATATGATGGTATACCCTCTGGTAAACTAACAGTTTGCTCTTGAAAATGGCCCAGTTATCATTGATTTACCTATGAAAAATGATGATTGTCCATAGTTTTTTGTATGTTTACCAGAGGCTACTGGTAAACATCATCATTCACAAATCCCTTCCCCAGAAACCATGGTGGATGTAGGAGATAAAACCAGATATTACCATAGAATGGGGATGTTGAAATATGTTGAATACCAAGGGGGGATGGGATTATGGTATGTCAACTGAAGCAGATCTCAAACAGGTTTTTCCTATTTGGGTGGCTGGATTCAGAAGTTCAAGATCTTTGGCAAAATATGAAGGTTCAATATAATGTAATGTAATCTAATGCAAAAAAACATCGTGCAAGATAGAAATGTAATCTATCAAAATACGATATAATATAAACCGAAATATAATTTAATATCGTATAGTATAGTATGATATAGAGAATATTGTATATTACATTACACATTATCATACTAAATATCCTAAATATCATATTTTATATCATGTATATAGTATTATCATGTCATAGTGCATTAAATATCTATATCATATTTTAAACATATCATATGTATATATATATACGTATATATAATAATTATATAATAGCATGTAATATTATATAATATGGTTAAAACAATGTCATAAACAACCCGCCAAATCACCAGAAATAGGTGGTCTGGTTACCATTTCCAAATGGGTGGTTTATGACATTGTTTTACCCACATTACTGTTGATGGACAAAGTCATGCACCAGTTGCTTGGGGCTTTGTCCCACTACTACCCCCATATATATATAAATGATAACATATGAACAATATATATATATCCACAAAATATTTTTAAATATCCTAAATATATATATATATACACAATATATTTTTAAATATCCTATTTATATTTATATATATATCCCAACTGATACCCCGCCATTGACCCATCTTCCACGACCTTGTCCTCGATCCGATGCGTCTCACGGGCCAGATCCATTTCCAACGTCTCAAGACGCTCCTGGCCGCGAGTTCTCCAGAAAATCTGGGTTATTACCCTCTGGTTATTTAACATAGCCATGGAAAATCCCTTATAAATGGAGGTATTAATAGGAAAATCATCTATAAATGGGCCATTTTCCATGGCTATGTTAAATAACCAGAGGGTAATATGTTTTTGATATGGTTAATGTGTTTTGATATGGTGTGTGTATATGCTTAATATGGTGTTTTATATGTTTTTTGTGTGGTTCTTTATGTGTTTTTGTTTTTAAATACGGTTTTTGGTATGTTTTTTTTTTACATAGTATGTACATAGTATGGTTTGCTATGGGGCTAGAATGGCAGCCATGGCTTTATAGGGCTTAATATGGAGATGTTAAGGGTACAAAAATGGGATAACACGGGGATTTAACCAACACTTAAAATGGTGGTTTATTTTATGTATAATAGGAATATCATGGGAACGTCATGGGAATATGGACTATTGATGTACCATTCATGGATCTTTCAACGCTGCCATAGCTGGGCAGCCAAGCCAAGGAGGAGGCCCAGCTAAGGAAAAGGGTCATTTCATAGGGTTTTTTTTGGGGAACTGGAGCCATCCTGATATCATATTCTAATGGGATTATGATTTTATAGTGATTTTAATGGGATTTATAGTGATTCTAATGGGATTTTATAGTGATTCAATGGGATTTCAATGGGATATTTCATCGAAATATACCCTCTGGTTATGACTATATAACAGTTCGCCATGGTTTTTCCATGGCCCTAATCGAAATAGATGGTTTACCTAGCAACAAAAAATGGGTGGATCTTTCCATGGCGAACTGTAACAAATAGCTATAGATGTCCGGCTTTCCCATTGGTTGATTGTAGAGGGGTTGGAAGGTTTACCCCTTTAACAACAGGTAAATGTTTAATGATACTTGGTGGCGAACTACCCACGAATCGTAAGTGGGTGAGTTCACCCCAGTTATAAATGGGATTTTTGTAGGGTTAGTCCACTCAAAAAACTGGGGTGAACTAACCCACTTACGATTCGTGGGTAGTTCGCCACCAAGTAGATGGTATACCAGTCACCGACCCAAAAGGACATGAAAACGGTGGAAAACTCACCATTTTTTGGATCATGTTCCGACGGGTTCAAACACCATAGCTTTTCCATAGCGATGGTTTTGCGTTTCACCCTAAGGGTACCCGGCCTGGTAAACGTTTACATAACCATGGAAAATCACCAGTGTTCATAGGTAAATCAACTATTTCTATGGCTATTTTCAAGTTCGCAAACTGTTAGTCATTACCAAAGGGTATCACAGGATTTAATTCTTCATATTAAGTCCTTTTTTTGTATTAATAATGTTAAAGGGGTTTCTACAAACCCCTCTATTACCCTCTGGTAAACGTTTACATAGCGAACTGGAAAATCACCATGCTATTAATGGGTAAATCCACTATTTCTATGACCATTTTCAATAGCTACGTTAAATTACCAGAGGGTCATTAAATGTCCCCATTGAACATCACCCAACCATTGGGTATATGATCTACAATGGCTACTATAAGGTGATGTCCAATATTCCCAAAATGGGACAGTTACCAACCCCTGAATTACCAGAGGGTAATCAACCAACCAATGGGAATTTGGGACATCTATGCTGTGGATCTATCCTGCCTCGACCATCGCCATGTGCTCCGCATGCGACAGCTCCTGGCGTTGGACCCAAGCGTTTTTGGACCGACGATGACGGCTGGGAAATCCCCGAAATGAAGGGAAAATCATGAGAAAATGATGGGAAAATATGGGTTTATAGCTGGAAAATCCACTATATATAACGAAGAAAATGATGGGAAAACATGGGACATCCACTATGAATGGAGGTTTATAGCTGGGAAAATACTCTGTAGATGCGTAAGTGGACAGTTGGGAGTTTGGTACAAGCTTGACGCCCCAGGTCGTTGGCTAACTATGTAACTTGTTGAATACTAACTCCAATACCCAGGATTTGTGCAAGTTCATGGGGTATGTGGTAAGCAAACATGGCTCGCTGGGAATTTCACCTGTTTTCCTGGCCATTTATCCAATTAAAGACCATTAGATCATGGATTTATCATGGATTCATGGTGATAATAATGGATTTACTGGCTGTAATATGTTTCACTATGAAACCATATAAGACCATGTTTAATTCCTATTAAGCCTCCATTTTCTTGTATTCAATCTTGCTTTAAGTTGGGTTTACGGTTTACGCGTGTCTATCATGTTTGGAGCAAGAAAAGTCTTTGAGTTGGCAAAGAATAAGAAGAATTGTGCCAATAAAAAATGTGCACTTCAACGGGGAAGCAATTAACATTGACCTTTGCAATCTAGTCCTTTCTTGAATATGAACATGTATTTTCAAGAAGTTGCCACTGGCAGGTTAAAACAGCAGAAAGTACCTCAAGAAAAAACACCAAAATTCACTGCGTAAGCATGTTGGTCAACTTAAGACCCCTAAACGCCAATATCACCCCAATAACTCATGTTTGCAGTATATTTGGGGTAGATCCCATATAATGTGGATAAAACAATGTCATAAACCATCCCCCAAATCACTAGAAATAGGTGGTATGGTTACCATTCCCAAATGGGTGGTTTATGACATTGTTTTACCCACATTATTGTTGATGGACAAAGTCATGCACCAGTTGCTTGGGGCTTTGTCACATTACTACCCCCTTATTTACAGGGTTTCACACCTACCAATAGTTACCAACTGGTGCAGCATTGTGTCCATCCACAGTATCACTGGGTTATACTATGCTGATTAGCAATCAAAGATTGGTAGTAATGAATAGTAATTAGGCGCAGAATCCCATTAATAGTAATTGATTAATATAATATTATAATATATATATACTATACTATGATACTATGTTGGTAATACTATGGTTATTTCATGTTATTTCCATTAGATCCTTACTATACCAGCATTTTCTGTTGCTACCGACGTTGCTCCTTGAATTCCAGGCTGGCTCGGATCTGCTCATGGTCTGCAGTCAACGCCTCCCGGACGTCAGCAGTGAAAACGCTACGGTGCGGTAAACCAATGGCCATGCCAATGGCTAGCTGCTAGAATCCATCTAGCTAAATATGCAAATGATGTATGTATATATATATATATGTATATTGTATATTATATGTATATGAACATATAGAAATTACTGCGTAAATCTGTATAGGACATTCTAAGACACTATATGTATAGACTGTATAGATACAGTAGATACTTATGTAACTTATCTACACTATCCCTGGCACAAACAAACTTCAACCCGCACCCGACGCCTGGTGTCTTTGACTGTAGGACACCTGATCCTCTTTCGCCTCAGGCGGGTGTCCTAAATGTCTAGGTCAATTTCTAGGGTTGATTGTATAGAAATTTTAAATTAAACCATGTTTTTTTTTTAACCATTGCAGTCATACTTCAGGGTTTTGGTGACAGTCCATTGAAATTTAGCTTGTGGATTAAACTACTAGGGTGTCCTCTGTTTTTTCTGCAACATTTACTTTCAACATCTCTAAATATAGATCATTTAAGGGAACATCTACAAGAAAGTCGTGTTCATTTGTCTCCGAATTGGGGGTTCCTGTAGATTTTCTCTTGAAGAATTCTGCGATGTTTGGGATTCAAATGGGGATGAGTATAAGTCAAATATATGGCGCCATAACAGCTGTACATCTGAAGCATATGGGATATGGGCAGTGGAAAATACGGCGTTTTACCGTTGGATCTGTTTGGGAATTCCTGATCTCCACGACCAGGATTTTTCAGCAACAAACTCAGGCTGGGAGATCTAATCCTTCGATGAAAATGGGATGAACATCAATCCACTTATTATATATAAGTTTTCATAATACAAATTATCCTATATTTATAATATAATATAATACTTTCATCTTCTATTTTCCACCTCAATCCACTCATTCAAGGTGATCTAACCCTTCGAAGAATGGGATGGGCCGCAGATTGACATCTTCAGTAGATCCAGTATTGGAAATGCACATGATCTATGGAACATGATCGCAACCCGATGCCCAAAAGTCGGAACCATCCTTGAAAATATTAATGTGTGATCATGTTTATTCGGATATACCCTCTGGTAATTTAACGTAGCTATTGGAAATGGCCATAGAAATAGTTGGTTTACCCATAAAAAATGGTGATTTTCCATAGCTATGTTAGTTTACCAGAGGGTAGGCAATAATTCTGGATATATATATATATGTCTTGGATCTAATCTGAACAAGTTGGAACAGCAGGGTGATGTTGATGTGTCCTGTTTCTATCCTTGCCACTGAACTTGGTACTTGGATACACATCATTCCAGTTTCAATGTGGTTAAGAAGCCATCTAAACTGCTGATTCTCCCCTTTTTCAACCCGGGTTATGCCAGGGTTATTCATCACGTAGCAACTTGGACGTAGCCACAACTCGAGTAAGTGATACGAATCATGTGTTGGCCGTATATCCCATCATATCCTTATCATCTACGAATTATAGATTATATCCCCAAGTATTGTAAATCCGATTTGCCCCCCTCATCTCCACATTTATATCATTTATAACCCCACACATACTCCACAATCACCATTCATTGCCCCATTTACCCTTTGGTAAATTAACATAGACCCTGGCAGTCATCGGGCTTGGAAGATGAGTTTCCATTAAAATTAGGCTATTTTCAGGGACCAACTGTTAATTTACCAGAGGGTAACCACTATTAATCCTTAGGCCTGGCTATTAACACTATTAATCACTATTAATCGCTATTATTAATCACTATTAACCATTATTAATCACTATTATCCCATTATTAACCACTATTAACCACTATTAACCATTATTAATCACTTGGTAGTAGCCAACTGGTAACCAGGATGATCAGTCACTGATTCGTGGCTTCTCCATGGTGATGATCTTCGATGGTAAAACAAAGAGAATCATTTCATTGGCATCCATTCTATCCAAGGTTCCAATATAGTATATATTATATGATATAATATAATATAATATGATATTATATGATATTATAGTTTATTATATTTTATATTATATGATATATTATTTTATATTATATATTATATTATATATTATTATCATATATATATATATTACATATCCCATGAAATTGTTGGTCAATTGTTAAACATGCTTAAATATGTTTAACTTCACATTATATCCATGAATGCCCCTTTGCATATGGTAACTGGACATGCAAATCCCAGCCTTCTTTGCAACCTTCTGGAAGTCGTCGATCAGTTCGCCGTTGGCCACCCTTACAGCCTGTCAAGTACCCTCTGGTTATGTCAAAATAGCTATTGAAAATGGCCATTTATAGTGAGTTTTCCCATTCAACATGGTGATTTTCCATAGTTATGTAAACGTTTACCAGAGGGTAGTGCTCCCTAGGCCTTCGGGAAACACCATGGGAAATGGGTGATTGAACCTGGCCAAAACCATATGGTGATTTGATGTGATTCCTAGGGATTCCATGGTGATTACCTTCCACTATCATCATGGCCGGGAATTCCATAAAAAAAACCCAACGAAACGCAGGTGACTCGTGTGCTGGGGGAATCTTCCCATGGAATTTTCCAGGAAAATGATGACACCGGAGAAAACATCTGGGTCAAGCCACCAGTGCCATGGGAATTCACCGTGAATTCACCACCTTTTGATGGTAACAGCAACATGTTGCAGCCAAAATGACCCGTTGTTTTCACACGGCGTTCTAGAAAAATGGTGGATTTCATGGGCAATCCCGGTGATTTTCATCCGGTTGCTGCGGCACCTGCAGTTGCTTTGCTGCTTGCTGACTCCATGCCTGGCCAGAGGGGATATAAGGGGATACCCTGATTTTGACAAAGATTCTGATGAAACATATGGGTATGGGTCAAAATTAGGTACCCCAAAATTATGGATGGTTAATACGAAACTAGACATTCACATCTGTGGTCCCATTAATGGTCTTCCATTTTGATGAAACATATATTTAACATTATTTAACCCCATTTGGGCAACCAGTAATTCACCAACATATTTTTCCTGGCTATACGCTTATGACATATTAGCCATTAACCATTCAGTATATTAACATAGACCCTGGTAGATAGGGGTTGGAAGATTAGTTTCCTCTAAAAATTGGTGATTTCCAGGGTCCAACTGTTAATTTACCAGAGGGTAACCCTCCAGTCTTCTTGACAAAACAACATCGCACCATCTTCGCTTCGCCTCCAGTTTCCGCTCCTGGACCGCTCGAGTTTCGCGAATATTCCAAAAGGGTCGATGCATGGCCAAGGGGCCATGGCTATGGGTCAGCTTACCCTGGAACCTTTAAAGTATGTTTATACTTGGTGTATTATCATTTCATATTTTGGTATTGTTTTGTTTGTTGTATATTTTATATGATCTGATTCTCTGACATATATATACATGATATATATATATATATGTGTATGGTTGGTGGTTGCAACCCCTCTGAAAAATATGCTCGTCAATTGGGATGATTATTCCCAATATATGGAAAGTCATAAAATTCATGTTCCAAACCACCAACCAGATATATGATATATATGATATATATATATATAGCAAACTGTTTGAACGCACCAGCTGGTTCTTCTGGATATCAAGATCCCAAAAAATCAGCTCATAGTCTTGCAGGTGACGGATATGGACCAATCCCCATTCGGCAGCATCATGGTGCGTTCATGGTCTCACAATCTTCATAGAACCAAGAACCACAACATCTTCGATTCCCAAAGAGTCTAGAAAATAGCCAGCAAATAACAATATCCAGAAAAAACCATTGCTTTCAATACTAAGTCGTGGTCTAACGACTTGGATGATTTAGGGTACCCCTATTCTAGGAAAACCTCATATCTACAATCACAAATCCACATCTCAAGTTCATCTCAATCCCCACATAACTAAGGCCAAACCCAGGTTTTTGCGGTTCATACTATGACTGGGTTACCCGACCTAGCCACATGGGCAGCGCCAAAAAAAGCTCCGGAGAAAAAATCCATGTTTGATGGTGAAATCCACCCATAAATATATGGTTAAAGCATGTTGCATCCCCATTATCCATCATTACCCCCATTAATATCCATCATTATCCCTTTTGAAAGAACCCCAAGAATGGTTCATTGATTTTCAACCCATCAGAAATCCCATGATATATCCCTATCATACATAATATATATCATATATCATACTAAAAGTAGCATTTTACATCCTTGTCATGTATAATATAGCCATATATATATATATACATATGTATATATATATATGTATACATATGTATATATATATATATATGTATACATATGTATATATATATATATATCATATATCCCTATGATTGGTGGCTAATCCAACCCCCCCAAACCCTAGGCCCCTTCTCCCGAACAGTCCAGTCGTCCCAGTCGTCCAGTCGAGGGTCCTTCTCATCAGATCGTTCCAAGGACGGCCAGATCTTCTGCAAGGCATCGGACAGACGTTGAGTCTCCTGGCCCAAAACGACGGCCGTAAACGCCAAACGCAGCGGGCTTCGGAGCTCTTCAAATAGCGGGGAAAATTCCTTATATATATAATTATATATATATATGTACAATTATATATATATGTAATTATATATATAATTATATATACATAGGCATATTATAGGCATATCTAACTTTAACTAACAGGGATGTAATGAAAAATCCTTCTGAAAATCGGCATAGGCATATTTCAGAGGGATGTCATGAACATTAAATATGGGGAATAGAATGAAATATATGACATCTAGAGCACATCATCTACGATCATGTTCCATGGTGAAAACAGATGACCGGAGGGTACTCAGTAGTAGAAATCCCATCATGCTCATGAAAATCCAATCACCACTAAACCCGTTGCTATCACCATTATTCTCAATACTTTGACCCCAGCCAAATCTTGGGCTCCAAGGCCGCTTCATGTTCCCATATGTTCCCATGATACTCCCATCTCCAAGATCATTAAATCCCTATAAAAATCCCATGTCCCCACTAGTCACACTACTTGCAGGAGTTATTCATCCGTTCATCCAGCCGTTCAAACCAAACGCCACCAGCGGTGAAGCTCCGTTGCTCCTGCTCCAGTTGCTTCTTCAGGTCGGTCTGCTCCGTGTCCAAGCGCTCAACCCAGACACCTCAACGAGAGTCCAAAGTTCGCGAAAACTGGTGCCGGATCGAACGTATGGATTCATATGGATCATACACTAACATGGATTCATGTTGATTGATGTTGATTGATGTTGATTGATGTGGATTAATGTGGATTAATATATAAGGATTGATGATATGGATTGATATGGATTGATATGGATTCGGATTATGGATTGATCATCCAAGGATTATGGTTGCACTCCCCGGAGCAACATCGTTGAAAATCCCAGATATGGAAATCGACATTTAACCGGGTTGCTCCAAACACCACAGGTGCAAGGGGGGTAAATTGGATAAATATGGAGGTAACATGAGCAATTTACCCCCAAAAGCGGCTATCATTTACAACGAGTTGGAGCAACCCTGTTAAACTATGTAAACTATGAAGATATTTGCTACGATGGTTTACATAGTTCAACAGGGTTTCCAACATAGTTTGCTAGGATAGTTCTTGCTAAGATATATTTACATACTAAGTCCAATTCAGATGTGGTTTCCCATTCCCATGTCAAATATGTTCATCCAGTCACTCTCGAATTGGACACAAATCTGGAGTCAGGGACCTGTCTGCGCATTTCAGGGGCTTGGACTCAGATACACTGCCAAAACCAGCTGATAAAGATAGCTATCACCAATTTATATTCACAAAAATCACTAAAACAAACTACTAGAAAAAAACAAAAAACATGAAAAACATATGAAAGAACCAAACATACAAAACTATATGTGTTTAAAAAACGGCACCTCCATGTCCAGTGGATCCCATTTCATCGTGTGCCATCCCTTCCCAGCCTCGCGCCCGCAGATCAAGTTCCATTTTGACGTCATCGATGCACCGGAAGATGGTGGTTAACTGTTCCACCTACGTGGGATGATCATTGGGGGTTGGATTCAATGTGGATTCTACTTTCACCGTAAGTTATGCTTTGGTACTTGGGGGTGTAGTTGTGGATATATATATATATATATATAACTCCATATAGTTTTAGAGGTTGTATCCCAGTTTATGGGGGTTATAACCATTTGTTATGCCCATTTATAGCATCAACTGCAACCCCGGCAACACGCTGCGCGCCTGTGCCATGTCTGCTGTCTTGAGATCTTCATTCAGCGAGAGCAAGTTGGCAACTGGCGCGAAGATGTGGATGCGAAGCTGCGCGAAGCTGTTCCGAACTTGGGTGAAGATATGTGTAATAACCCCAAAAAAGCTAGAAAAGGGAATCTTCCCTATGTTCATGAGGATATACTGATATACGTTTCTAATCTTTTCTATCCTTTGGGGAATTACGTAATAAACATAGTTGAGTATGTTCCAAACATTCCAAATATGTTCATCAAACAATGACCATTCAATCCGTGGATCCACTTTCGTTCACGAAAGCGCTTGCGTACACGGCGTACCCATCTCCAAAGACCCAAGAGATACATGGTACCCCAAAACTGCAATAGATCCAATACTTCACAAGGCAATGGACAAAGGTTGGAAGGGATTACCCATTGGGAAACTCACATATAGCTATGGGTAAATCAACGAACTAAATGATCATTTTATGTCATTTTCAATAGCTTTCCAATAGCAAATGACTGGCTATAGTAGTACCATCCAGTACCTCCCTTCGATCCCAGACCTTGTTCCTCCAGGCTTTGTTGCAGTTGCTCCACCGCAGTCACTTGTTCTTGCCGCAACTCCTCTTGTCGTTGTTCCAAAGCTTCGGAACCTCAGTGCTGAGGTCGTCCCATGCCATGCGAATCCTCAAATTTCATGGGATACCCTCTGGTTATGTCAAAATAGCTATTGAAAATGGCCATTTATAGTGAGTTTTCCCATTGAAACTGGTGATTTTCCATAGTTATGTTAGTTTGCCAGAGGATAATGGGTATAGAAAGTCCCCAAACATCGACACGCGCGCCATGGATCCAACTCCGGTGCTGAAAAACGGCTGCTTCGGAACTTCTTCTTCATCAAGATCACCTTTTTACACCTTTTTAGGGGATTGAGCAGGACACCCCCTGCTAATCCCCAAATAAATGCGGACATGTAAGAGAAAGCCCCCGCGGTTCTGGCGGTTTCAGGAACATGTTTACTTTTTTTTAAGGAAACAATTCTGTGCTTTTCTTGGTTAAACTCCATTCTTGCAATTTAAAACCCATATACTGTGCAATACTTTTCTTGGGTAAAGTTCCATGTTTACGGCTTAATGAAAATCCGTGTTTTCTGGCTGAAAACAAAAAAAACATCACAAAAAACGCGGATCCTATTCTTTACAGCCCCAAAATATCCTATGCATTCCCTCAAAATATTTCCGCTTCCCCCCCGAGACGCTGGCGGGCAGTTGCCAGCTGCTGATGCAGTTGCATGTCATCTGGGCGAGGTCGAATTCATTGGGAGTTAGATAAAACTCTATTCAGCTGATGATTAAAGTATCTAACAGTCTAACCTTGATTTAGTGGTTAATTGTAGAGAATATGTCTATATAATCCCTTCCTCCTAATACTAAACGTCCCCCTAATACTAAAAACAGGCATCCATCTCCAATTTCCGAAAATTTCAGTTTGGCAAATTTGACTTTTAATTGATCCCCTTTAAAAAACAATTTAAAAATCAACCTACCATTTGTGGGTTCTCCCCCCTAATACTAAAAACTAGTTCACCCCGGGGTGTTTAGTATTAGGGGGGCCTAGTCCCAATCCCTCACTCCAAGCTGCCTAGCTACTCTAGCAATTAGGGGTAAGCTTCGAACTGCCATTTTTGGCAATATTTTAATTGCGTTATATAAGGAAATTTAATTGATTTTGAGATCGGAAAAATAGTTTTTAGTATTAAGGGTTTTAATTTAGTATTAGGGGTAAGCTTCGAACTGCCATTTTTGGCAATATTTTGCGTTCCTTCGAACTGCCATTTTTGGCAATATTTTGGTTCCCTAATAATAAATACCCCCCTAATACTAAAAACTACCTGCCGTGTTTTGTATTAGGGGGGGGTTTAGTATTAGGAGGAAGGGATTATGTCTAACTTATTTAGTGGCTATCAAATTGATGATCTTGAATCCAACTGTTAATCAACTTGAATCAACTTGATAAAACATCTGGATTCAACCAATATCAGTCAGCATTTAGTGGTTGTTGTTGGTGAATACATACCCTCTGGTAAACATATAAAAAACTATGGAAAATCACAATTTTCAATGGGAAAATCCACTATAAATGGTCATTTTCAATAGTTATGTTAAATTACCAGAGGGTAATGAGCAAGCCCTTGATCGGCTGATTTTTGCTGGGACGTTAAGAGTTGAGCAGCAAGAATGTGAGATGTTTGCAGCAAAAATGATAGGAACTACCGGCAGGATCAGGAAACCACAACACTTTTACTGAGGAAAACATGGACCGTTTCCGGTAGATGTTCCAATTTTTCCCAAGGTGAGGTCGGTCAACACTGACAGCTTGATCACAGTCAAAAGAGTTTCTACAGGATTATCGTGGTGTCCAACTGTTCTGTCTGAGCCATGAAAGAAAAGAGGACCCTTATCCCATTCCATTGTGCCGCTTGTCAAGAGATATGCCTGCTGCGGATTGCAGCAAATCCTAAGAAAGCAAGCGGTGGAATCCACTATAATGAAGAACCAACAATCATGTATTAGCTAACTCTGCATTTTTAGTGGCTAAAGTTAGAGGCAAAAAGTATGTATGTGATGGCCAATCCACCCCATAATAACCATCCAACAGCATCCAACAGCTGGGTATGTTTAATGATTGTTTTCCGATACCTCAAGATGATGTTCATGTCTACTCAGTACATAAAGTGTTTAATGAGTCTTTGAAGAACATGAAGTAGAAAACTATCGCTGTATATATAACTTAAGTTTCTGGGTATTTAGAAGCTTGTTGCTGGCTGAAAAGCCAGAAATATAAAGCCAGACATCCTGAAAAACGGGGCACCTAAAAACGCGTGACTGGTCATTTTCAGCAGCCCAAATAACTCCAATGGATCATCATGTTCCCAATCACAATGGGCACCAATTTTTTTTTTCTCTAGCGCCAATGAAGGTGCGCAGCCTGACCAAAAGATTAAAAATCAAATATGGAACACGGGAGGGTGTTAATTTTCTTAGTGTTTACTCGGTAAGCCCGGAGGCTGTTGGCCGATGGCCTGGTGGATATAAGGCGACCGTATGAAATGGATAAATCAAAAAGGTCCGCACCGAAGGGTGGCAACATCCACCAATTGCAAAACATCTTGGTGTGTAGGAGAAGGTGGAGCCACCCTTCCCAAGGCGTGATAGGCATCTTTAATAGTCTCTTGAAGCCAATCTAATTTTGGCCTACCTCTTCTTTTGAGTGGGATATTTCTTGGTGCGAAACTGTTATATGAGAAGAGCACTTGCCGAAGTGGGTCTTTGTGGTTTGCACGAAGAATATGTCCAAATAATTTGAGCTTCTGGTTTTTCCACACCTGAGAAAAATTTGTCGCATCAACACCATATTGTTCAACTTGTTCTCGGACTACTTGATTAGTTTGCGTTCGGTCAATGAATGTAGGTGGAACATTCAAAATTCTGCGAAGTGACTTCATCTGAAAGGCATCTAATTTGTTCATTTCAGCGTGGGTTAGCTGTAAGTTTTCTAAACCGTACATGAGTTTGGATCTGACAATTGCGTTAAATACTCTGAGTTTCCAGTGTGCGCTAGTGTTTGCCTTAGCCCAAAACAGTTTGAGCTGGCAGCATGTCTTAACTGCTAAGGCCAAGCGGTTCTGAAGTTCCACTGAGTTATCAGCAGCGTCATTCAACACTGTACCTAGGTATATAGCCTGGCGTTTTCTTGGGACCAATGAGCCATCTGAGAACTTGATAGTGGAAATCTGTTGGTTAGTAGTCAAGTTAATGCATTTCTGGTAGTTGAGGTTCATGTTATAATAAGAGGACTCAACTTCAATTTCATGAAGGAGCTTGTTTATTGAAGCAGTGTGATCTCCAAAAATCAAGGTATCGTCAGCGTAAAGAATTTCAGAGAAATAAATACCAGGTAACGGTTCAAGCTCCTTTGGGGTATGAAGCCGGTTTTTTATGTCTGAGAATGCAACGGACATGACTAATATAAACAAATATGGGCTGAGTGGGCATCCTTGACGAATACCTGCTTCCTGCCGTAAAAAGGCTGAAGAACCCTCTTCGCATTTTACTTGAAACTTGGGATGTGTATAAATGTCCTTAATAAGTTGAAAGAGGCGTGGTGGTACTTCTAACCTCTGCAGGCTTTCCATAAGACGGTCATGGTCAAGTCGATCAAAAGCCTTCTCCCAGTCTAGCATAACTACACTGATGTTCCTACCTGTGACTTCTGCAATACTTTGGAGCCGTCGGGCAAGGAAGATGGCGTGGCTAGTGGATTTGCCGCTACGGAAACCATATTGTGTGGTCATAATCCAATCGTCGAGTCCTTGTGTCAAACGATTTTTAATCATAGCTGCCAGTAATTTGTAGAATGTCTGTAACAATGAAATTGGACGGTAATTTTCCAATTTCGTGGAGTCTCCCTTTTTGAAAATAGAGACAACTGAGGCTTCATGTAAGGAATCTTCTAATTTTCCTGATTGTAGAATGTCGTTGTAAAAATGTAAAAGAGCTTTTCGATTTTCCTCATCAAGATATTTTACTAGTTCCGCTCTCAAATTGTCTGTGCCGGGCGCTTTATTGTTTGGTTGCTTTCGTATCACGGCGTCTAGTTCATCTAAGGTGAACTGGGAATCATCGATGGGAAATCGTCCGTTAGTCAGATTAGAGGGATTGACTTTAGGAGGTGGTATCCTATCCGGGTTTCTTTTCCATTGTTCTTGTGCTAAATATTCTGCAGCCTTGTGGTGGTATTCGCTTCGTGGAATCCTTCTTCCGTCCTTATCTCGAAATTTTGTGTATTTCAGCCGTGGAGCTTTTCGGAGACGCTTCAAACCACTCCAAGAATAAGAAGACCCTTCCATTTCTTCTATAGTTGTTGCAAGAGGTGTGTCTCTTTGTCTTTACGCACTTCGTTTTTAATTTTCTGCGTGAGCTCTTGCGCGGTCTGTAGCTGTCCTTGCCTACAAGCTTCCTGTCTAGATTCCATAAGGTTCCAGGCGGTAGCAGAAATATAAGGTTGTCGTTGATTTGGGGGAATGACCGTGAAGGACAGACTAGCTGCTTTTTGCAAACATTGAGCAAAGACCGTAACAGGAGTTGTGTCAAAATTTGGGGGGGAGCAACCTTGGAGCTGACGGATAGTTTGGTTGTACTTCAGGCGTTGCTCATCGGAGGGCTCACGGTATTTGGGCGCGTGTGCTGTAGACTTTTTTGTTTGTTTCGCAAGCTTAATTACAACGTCTACAACTATCATTTTATGATCTGAATCAAGAGAGGTGTGGTGAGTCGCATTGACATTTCTAATTGCATTTCTCCACCTGCGTTTTGACAGAATATGATCAATTTGCGAAAACCTGGTACTCGTACACGGTGATGCAAAAGTCGCAGCTTGCGTATTTCTGAAAGTGATTAGGTCATTGTGATGTTTCTGGAACATTGTGGAGGAGACAACGTAATCCTCTTCCAAGCAGAACTCTACAAACAACTCTCTGTTCTCCATTTGCGCTTCGGGTAGGCTGTCTATGTTTTGATCGTCTGGGTTGAATATATGAGGTCCGATGTGTTCTCGTTCTTCAGGGAGACTTTTTAACAACTTAGCATTGAAGTCCCCGAGTATGATGTGTTGATTGTGTCTTCCGTATTGTGTTGTGATTTCTCTCAATTTTTCATAGTAACGTGTTTTTTCGGAGGAGGGCTTTGCTGAGTGTGGGGCATGAGTGCCAGTCAAATTCATTGTCCCGCCTTTACTCCTGAGCGAAAGGGTGATGCTACGATTGTCATGTTGAACAACATCGATCTTTGAATTTGAAAGGTGTCTGTGGTAAACAACTGCTACCCCTAGCTTCTCTGCATCTAGATTGTAAAGTTGACGCTGGTTTTTCCCTTTATTCTTACCTTTCCCTGCTACTGTTTTCGCCATTTCTCTTGCTTTAGACGCTTCTTCTCTTTGCTGATCCGTAATGGAGGAAGAGAAAACAAAACAATATTGGTCATGATGTTCTTCGGTGTTTGTATTGATGTGTGTTTCTTGTAAAAACAAGATATCCAGTTTGTGAGTTTTCATCATGTGTACAATTTTTTCCCTTGCTGAGATGTGGTTAGCACCCTTACAGTTAAGGGTTGCGATCTTCAAGTTTTTTTGTATTTTTGTGCCCGTGTTATCGCTGTGAAAATGTCCATTGGTGGCGGTCAAGCCTTCTTGAGCCCTATGATAAGTGCACTCCTGGAGGGCCAAAACAGGAGAGAACTTCCTCACCATTCTGTGCAATTTTCTTTTCTCTTGGCGTTTCTGACTTCTATTGCATTTACGCATCAGGATTGCAGCATTAGACCGTCTAGTTTTTCGTTTTGATTTGTAAATTGTTTTTGGGTCATCTTTTGTTGAAAGTAAATGCTTGTCCGAGTTGTGATTCCATCTTTCATTACTAATGCATTGGTGAGACTTGGTTCGAGTGACCTTCAGTTGCCGCTGCCTGTTGGGGCGTGGCTTTCCCGCATTCCCAAAGTGGGGGGAGGTCGACAGGGTGGATTCAATACAATCGTAAGGGGGTTTGAATTTATCAGTATATCGGCTTTTTCGTGCTTTTGGTGAGCTGCTGTGTCCCGTCTTCAGATGGCGTTCTTCTCTTCTGTCAGTAATTTCTTCGTATTTACTTGGTAAAGGCAAAAAATGCCTTGATGGCACAAGGTGCCTGTCTGGGTCGGCGGTGTGTCTGTAAGACTTGAAAAAAGTCGTCCATTGAGTGTGTCGTGCGGTTCGTTGGTCGCCTTGGTTCTGTTTGACGTTCTTTTTTCCATCCGATTTTTTGCTGAAGAATTGTGGGCTATGCTTGTCTTTCCTCCCTGTTCCCTATTCAACAGCATCACTACGGAACTCACTCTTGTACGTCTCGTACTCCTGCAGCCAGTTGGTCACCTGGTGGAATTCAAAGGTGAAGGGGAACTTGCCATATTCATCGGCGTTGCTCATCGTTTTGGTGGGTGTTTTCCCTTTTCCTTTGCCCTTGGTTTTGGTTTTTGCTCCTTGTCCTTGTCCGTAGCTTGTGGCGAACTGGCTCTGAAATGCGTCCACGAAGGTTTCAAAGTGAATGCTGTGATCCACATAGATTTTGGCTGCGCCTTTTGAGGAGTTGAAGGTGATCCACACGAGGTAGGAGCCCTTGGTTTTGATAGCGTTTTCTGGCCAAACTGGTGCAAAGTCCTTGTACTCGAACACCTCCCTCAAGACCATCATTGCTGTTCTCATCGGTGCTCCTTTGATACGGTCCCAGATCGGGATCTGGGGCTTGAAGATGAGGGTTCCATTGCTCTGTGTGTTCATCTCGGATTTCTCTCCTAAGGCCTGTGTTTCATCAGAAGTCCACCATTCAGGGATGCCTTTCGGGAATTTTTCTTTCTGCCAATCTAGTAGCCTTTTCCTGATCCATGGCTGTGCTAGCTTGACGTGGGATTGGGGGGAAATGCTGTCAGCTTTCACTTGGTGACTGTATTCACGATCTGCTGGCCAAAACCTTTTGCTCACCCCTGCTTCACGTAGACACCATTCAATGATGCGCTCTCTATGCATGTACTCATCTTCAAGGTTGGTCACCTTCTTGTACTTCACCCAGTTGATGACGACAAACTCACTTGCGCATTTCTGTCTGTCAGTGTCGGCCTGGGTTTTCAGGGTGAACAGGATTTGGTTGCCTTGGGTGTTCAATTTGCTGTGCACATTCTGGAGGTCATCTCTGAGAATGGCTAGTTCAATGTTGAGGTCTTGTTTTCCTCCTCCTTCTGGCTTTTCCATCTGATCATGTGCTTCTTCTTTAGCGATGTTTTGTTTCTTGGCTTCTCTGTCTGGTGTCTTGGCTGGCGTGAGTTGTCTTTTCTCTTTTTCTTTTTCGGTTTCCATCTCTAGCATCGCACTCTCATCATCCGCCATCAATTGCCCGGCTGACTTTGGTGCCCACTGCCGTGTGGCAGCCGACATGCGTGCAGCTACCCTTACTAATCACAAAGAGAAACAGGTACCCTGGTTCGAACCACAATGCTGGGCACCAAAAAAAAAAATGTTTAACTTTAGTATTTTTGGGCACCAAAAATACTAAAGTTAAACAGTTTAAAACAATGGACTTACCTCAGGATGCTGATTTATATGGATGATATATGGATTATACATGGATTATATAGTGGTTCATAGAGGTTAATAGTGATTAGTAGTGATTAGTAGTGGTTAATAGGGTATAAACCAACAACAATGGGAATATCATGGGGATATATGCCCTCCAGATCCAGATCCAGCTGTGTTTGTGGCAAATCTTCCCCCCACGAAAATGGGTTTTTCTGGGTGAAACCGAAGTCATGGTAGCCCCAAATCATCCTATTTTTCACCAATGGTGAATTCCGGATTCCCCATTAAGACACCCACAGATGGAGGTGAAACCTAAGTCATGGGGGTGCCCCCAGTTCTCATCCATTTATAGATGGAGATTTTCCCTTAGAATTATTCACCATCCAGCGATTTTCGGGGCACCCCCATGACTATGGAAACCTCCATATCATCATATCCTGGCTAATATTGGTCATTTATACCAATCATTATATATATATAACCTATATTAGTGTGATAACTAATCATTTCAGAATTATATACCCCATGACTATAGAAACCTCCATATTTGTTCTTAGTTGGGAGGATCGTAAAAACCAACTCGTCACTGGACCGGCCTTGATTCTGTAGCTGCACGGAATTCTGCTGCTGCAGCTGAGAGATTTCCTGACCGATAAACAACAATAATAAGGAATGTGTATACATATATATATATACCAGTATATATATATATACACCAGTATATATATATATGTATATATATATATATACTGGTATATAATGGCACATAATGGAATAAACACATATAATGGAAGAAATATATAATGGGATATAGATGAATATGGCAAGATATACCCAACATTTGTTCATTTTCTCGTGACGTGGCTAAAAAAATGCACGAAACCCAAGGGATCCTAGAGATTTTCCCTTGGGTTCCGAGGTTGCATCTTTCTGTTTTTTTTGGGGGGATGGTTACACCCTTACTAACCAGTATTCCAATTGGATATTATAATATAACCATAGTAAATGCTGGGTAAATTATATTAATATAACCATAGTAAATAACCATAGTAAATACTGGGTAAATCATTATTATAATTATATTATTATCTTACATCCCATCATATTATTATAATATAACCATAGTAAATGCTCGGTAAATTATAATAATATGATGGGATGGTTATTCCAATTTGATATTATGCTGGGTAAATTATAGTAATTCACGAACCTGAAATGTTGGGCCATAGTGGGATGATTCCTCTATAAAAACCATGATTCCAGGGTTCGGGAGACCAGGCTTCGGTCATTATACTTGACCCAGATCTTGGAATTTGTTGGTTAATCTCTAGATATTTGGTACATGTTTGGTAGATAGAAAACCGAAGTTCGATGAGTTCTATGTCCAATGTTCAGCATCATTTTGTCAGAATCGGCAGGACATTTCGCTGAAAACGCGAAATAAATTTGTTTGATAGGTTCCATTGGTTCTTGTAGATCTTCCCTGTTTTTGCATATATTTGGTTATTATCATTTATCCATATCATAATAATATATATATACCCAATCATTGCATACTGTACATCCTCATTCTATCATTTCTATCCATATTACCCTCTGGTTATTTAACATAGCCATGGTATAGATGGCCCATAGAAATAGATGGTTTACCGTTCTTAATAGCATGGTGATGTTCCATGACTGATGGTCCCCGAAAACAGCTGGTGACTTTTCGCTGGTACGGTGCACCTCCATGATCTTGGTCTTCGCCTCCATCAACTGTTCTTCCAACTGCCGCTGTGTCACCTGCAGAGTTCTGACGGGTTTTTCCGTGTGTAAAACTTGGAGTTTGACTAAAGGTCTAAGCACTAATCAATAGTGGATTAACCAGGTTTAACCATGTTTAACCATGTTTAACCATGGTTAACCATGTTTAACCATGTTTAACCATGTTAACCATGTTTAACCATGTTTAACCATGGTTAATTATGTTTAACCATATTTAACCATGTTTAACCATGTTTAACCATGGTTAACCATGTTTAACCATGTTTAACCATGGTTAACCATGTTTAACCATGTTTAACCATGTTTAACCATGGCTAACAATGTTTAACCATGGTTAACCATGTTTAACCATGTTTAACAGTGTTTAACCATGTTTAACCATGGTTAACCATGTTTAACCATGTTTAACCATGGTTAACCATGTTTAACCATGTTTAACCATGGTTAACCATGTTTAACCATGTTTAACCATGTTTAACCATGTTTAACCATGTTTAACCATGTTGAACAATGTTTAACAATGTTTAACCATGGTTAACAGTGTTTAACCATGGTTAACCATGCTTAACAATGTTTAACCATGTTTAACCATGGTTAATCATGTTTAACCATGTTTGACCATGTTTAACCATGTTTAACAATGTTTAACCATGTTTAACCATGTTTAACCGTGTTTAACCATGTTTAACCATGTTTAACCATGGTTAACCATGTTTAACCATGTTTAACCATGTTTAACCATGATTAACCATGTTTAACCATGTTTAACCATGTTTAACCATGTTTAACCATGTTTAACCATGTTTAACCATGTTTAACCATGTTTAACCATGTTTAACCATGTTTAACCATGTTTAGCCATGTTTAACCATGTTTAACCATGGTTAACCATGTTTAACCCCATGTTTAACCATGGTTAACCATGTTTAACCATGTTTAACCATGTTTAACCATGTTTAACCATGTTTAACCATGTTTAACCATGTTGAACAATGTTTAACAATGTTTAACCATGGTTAACAGTGTTTAACCATGGTTAACCATGCTTAACAATGTTTAACCATGTTTAACCATGTTTAACCATGTTTAACCATGTTTAACCATGGTTAACCATGTTTAACCATGTTTAACCATGTTTAACCATGTTTAACCATGTTTAACCATGTTTAACCATGTTTAACCATGTTTAACCATGTTCAACCATGTTTAACCATGTTTAACCATGGTTAATCATGTTTAACCATGTTTAACCATGTTTAACCATGTTTAACCATATGTTAACCATGTTTAACCATGTTTAACCATGTTTAACCATGTTTAGCCATGGTTAACTATGTTTAACCATGTTTAACCATGTTTAACCATGGTTTGACATAGTTTAACCATGTTTAACCACTGGTCGGATGGATTGGAAGCAGATTATCAGGAGGATTCAGCAGATTTGAGGTTTTTTCAGCAACAGAATATCGAGGGCTTCATCGTGTCCCGGAGCAAAATGGGTGTCTTGACACACCAACTAATAGTAACTAATAGTAACTTATAGTAACTTATAGTAACTAATAGTAACTAATAGTAACTAATAGTAACTAATAGTAACTAATAGTAACTATGTGGATTTTTCAACACGACTTACCATCCGGTAACGTGGCAATGTCCCATTTCTCCCATTTCGTTCCGGGATTTCCCAGATACGCAAAGGTGGGGACACACCAGGGCCCAGCTCAAGGCAGGCTCTATATCCGCATTGGGATTTATAGATAATCAGGATGTAATCTATATGACCCAATTATAGATTTATAGATGATTGGGATCTATGTCATTGGGATTTCTATGGATTCTCTTTTGACTCTTATGCCATAGAAAATCCAGGATTTCGAATTCAAAAACAGTTGCAAGATCTTGCAATGTATAATGTAGCAGTTACCCATGTGTTCTCCTCAAAATCCCTTCTATGCAAACAAGTCAACCACGGCTGGGTTAGATATTCTTGGTCCCATCTCCCACCTCAAGAAATACTCCAAGATCATCACCAATAAATGGGCTATAGTCCCTTACATATTACCATCATAAGGGCCCCATATCCCAACCATTCCCAACCTATGGTGATATCGCAAGAAATGGGCAATATCAGATCCATTAATACTCCATTATATCAATATACAATATATATATATATGGATAATATAATGTTGATATTAATACTCATGGGATGATGTTGATAAAACAGATATTGCCCATTTATGATGATCAACAAATGATGATACAACATGAATATACTCCGTTTTATACACATCAAAACACGGCCCCAAACTCGTCACCCAGGGGATGAATTCGGTGGGGATTCATCCCATGGAAATTCCAATAATTCGGTGTGTCTGGAAATAAGGTATCATTACCACCAATTTGTAGGGAAACTATGGGAAAATGATCATGATGTTCATATATATCATATATGTTCATTGGGTTTAGGGCCACACGATCTTCAGACAAGGCCATTGGAAATTCCGAAATTCCCATCCTACAGGATGATGCCCAGTGATGTGAAGGTCGGTTAAGAAGCCCCATGAATACTATAGAAATTGATCTATATCTATATTCTATAGTAGTGTTATAAAATCATACTATATCTATATTCTATACCCATGTATATTTTATTGATAATGCTAGAAATTCTATATCTATCACTAAATTCCAGTGGCTGAATTTAGTCATAAGTTGATTTATAAACCCCAATGAATACTAGTTCGTTATATCTACCATAGTCACCATAGTTAATTCAGCAACTTTTTTAGGCAACTGAACGCTACGCGATGGCCTCAAAGTCCAGTTTCAGCACCAGCGCATCTCGCATTTCCAGCAGATCATCCTGAGATTTCTGCAGCTCCTGAGGCGCCCCCGATTTTGGGGAGGGGATCGCCGGGAAAGGTGTGAAAATAGCGAGTTCATATGCTACTTAAGGGGTAAAATAGTGGAAATCGAGGGGAAATCAAGGTCCTTGGTCACATGGTGGGCAAATGGAGTAAGGGGTAAAATGACACATCTGCAAAAGTGAAGATCATTCACCTGTCATCGGTTGGATCAATCCTGTTGAAGTGGCAGGCGTGCTAGTTGCGGAAAGGTTCAGGTGTATTGTATAGAGGAAATCTCATGCTTTTTCATATTGTTGAAAGGATGGAAACTCCCAAGTTGTGTAAGATATTGTTTTTGCTGGCAAAAAAGTATAACTAACTAGTAAAAGTCTATTTAGTATCATTTAGTGAGGTAATTTATCAATGAATTCCCCACTAGAACCCAATGTCCCAATGAAATTTCATGATCAATTGATACCCCGAAAGTAATTCACATGATATTTAAGGAACAATTACCCTAGGTTAAACTAACATAGATGTGAAAAACCCATGTTTTCTCTAAGGAAGTGATCTCCAATTCATGGATTTTCCACATCTGTCAACGTTTACTGGACTACGGGATGGTATATCATCAACAATTACGAACTGTATCATTATGATTGATAATTTAATGATTGGTAATTTAATGATTGGTACTTACTCCTTGTTATCATGACCATTATTCAAGGTAAAATCATTATACAATTTTCAAATTTTCCCAGATTGGTTTTTAAAACCCAATGGTAATTACTAATTGGAAACCAATTACACATCATTCTAAAACCAATTTTATTAACCAATTACTAATTGGTATTGTAACCATAGAATTGGATGATGGAAAAATTTACAGGAAAGCCCTATATTTGATGGTAAAAACCATGGTTTCCTGTAAATTTTCCCTTAAACCAACCCAGTGATATAACCATTATTCAAGGCACAATGGAACCAAAGCATTTTCCCAGATTCACTCACCTTGATGTCCCGCTCTATGCGAGTGATCTCTTTATCGACATCGCGAACACTGGAAGAGGCTCGAACGTCGTCCTGGGCTGGGCGTTGATAGTTCAAGAACTATGGGAAAATAGGAAAACCATAGGGAAATCATGGAAAACCTTGTTGAAAATGATCATGGGGAAAAACGAAGAAATCATGAAACGTTGATGTAGGAAAAATAGAGGAAAAGCATAGGGAAATCATGAACAAACTATGAGGAAAATGATGGGAACCGTGGTGATTTAACCTGGCCAAAACCATGGTGATAAAAAACCCAACAACTCCTCTGTCATCAGCTCCATGGCTGGGAAATCCCTGAACTACCCTCTGGTAATTTAACATAGCTATTGAAAATGGCCATTTATAGTGAGTTTTCCCATTAACAATGGTGATTTTCCATAGTTATGTTAGTTTACCAGAGGGTAAATGGAGGTTTGAATAGAAAAAACATCTAGAAATTGTGAACGTTCCAATAGCATCTTTGATTTAACATTGCCAAATTGCATGAATATATATATATATATGAATGAATTATATTTCGACTGGGCTTATGGCATTAGCTCAAAATGTACCCATGAACAACAAAAAATTGGATGCAGAGCCCAAGTAATGCTTTACATTGTATATTAGCGCATCCTATTCCTTCCCGTTGTATGGGTATATAAATTAGACGAATTCACAAATCTGGAAGAACATCTTTTTTTTCCACAATCTCTTGTGCCTTGCAGGCATCTACATGCATAAGCAGCGAGAATTTCCTTTCAAACGAGTTGCCAGTTCGGCTTCCAATGTGATCTCGATCTACGTTTTTGAGTGGACTCAAAATTACAATCCAAAGAAGCTTGCATAAGCACCGACCATAAAGCAACTTTGTTACGGGGTCTCAGGTGTAAATGAAAGGCACTTAATTTGAGGAGGCCGAATGCAGAACCATGTTTTGCAGCCTTGTTTTCGGTGATTTGAGGGAAAGCATGTAACAGAAAATGGATCCAAACAGAATGAAATCTTGTAATGAGAAGGCCAAAGCTCTGTTCAGAAGAAAGGACACCATCGAGAAACCCCTGGCTTGAAATAGTGTCTATCATGAAGAAAGCCCATGGGGTCCAATCTGCCGTGTCCATCCAATAGGATTGGTTGATGCTATCTAAAATGTAAGACTTAGCCACATTTTGGGCATACCCTCTGGTAAACTAACATAGCTATGGAAAGTCACCATTTTTCATGTGTAAATCAGTATAAAATGGGCCATGGCTTCCGTGGCTATGTTAAACACTATGATTATTGACCACTATTAACCATCATTCACCATGATTAACCATTATGAACATTATGATTAACCATTATTCACCATGATTAACCATTATTCACCATTATTCACCATGACAAAACTAACTATAATCGTAAATCAGTAACCACTATTATTACTATCAATCACTATTAACCATGATTCACCATTATTAACAGGTTGCTATTGAACTACCTACCGGGTAATCCCCTTCACTTCTCATCGGTGGGCATCGGTGGGCCAGCGGGGTCACTGTAAATTCGCACGGCAGATTCGATTTTTCTGGTTTTCTTGTTCAACAAATGTGGCAAGCTGGGAAAGCTCCGTAAAAAAATGGAGGTTTGAGTGGGAAAATCAAGAAAAATGGTCCAATTATCAATTAGTGAGTGATAGTATTTGATCTCATTTTCCCATCTAATTGCAACCAATAGTGACACCATACATCCCTATTCTATTCCGTCATATTCCCTTCAAATATCCCACCAAACATCCCAGAATTTCTCACTCTATATCCCACTACAAGTCCATGTCATCTCATACATTTTTAAGAGTATGAGATACTAACCATCATGGTTCTTTTATATGGGATACTCATAAAAAATTGTTATTTCATGGTTAACCATGTCACATAAAATATCCCAGAGTTTCACTCTATATCCCACAAAATAACCATGAAATAACCACAGAATCCCATCAGATCCCCCTCAAACAACGATGAAAATTCATCGAAAACACAACTCGCATCTATAGTCCCTTGAAAGGTAAATAAGGTACCCTCTGGTTATGACTAACATAGCTATTGAAAATGGCCATTTATAGTGAGTTGTCCCATTAAAAATGGTGATTTTCCATAGTTATGTTAGTTTACCAGAGGGTAAAACAACTTCTTATTCCATCAAAACATACCCAAAACTTCCACAGATCATCCGTCGCGCCACCAAGGACCAAGTCGCAGAGACTCGCAACATGGAGGGCGAAGGCGAGAGAGGCGAAGTCCCAAGGGACAAGGCGCCCTGATTTTTTGGAGCCATGGGATTTCATATATGGGAATGGGTCAAAACCTATTACTATCAATTTTAGTGGGATGAACAGCTATTTACCAGCTATTTTGAAGTTTACTAGGTACCAGGGTTTTGACCCATAGCCATATTCTTACCATGATTTTAAGCGGGATTTAATATATTGAATTGGGATTCGGGATTAATATGTCATATATATATATATATTCTTATACCATTTAATGGGATTGATTTTGATTTGGGATTAATATTTAACATATTCTTATACCATTTCATGGGGATTGAATATGATTAAATGGTGACAATAGCTGATGAGATTCAAGATATTCTTGACTATGGTGATTTAAGATGATTCAAATTTGTTTAAGATGATTCAATGGGGATATACCAGGTATATACTTGAGATATATACTCAAAATGGGGAGATGATGGGTTTCCAGTTGGGGGTGCATCCGAGACATTTTTTGGTTGTCACCCACTCCAAGCTGATGCGGACTAAATGGGGATAAATTGGGATACAATTGGGAAATATTACCCTCTGGTAAACATACAAAAAACTATCGAAAATCACCATGTTTAATGGGAAATGTCACGAAATAAATCACAATTTTCAATAGCAAACTGTTAGACATAACCAGAGGGTAGGAGATTTCGGGAAAACTAGCACCCTGAGAATCCCCCCATCTACTGGGTTGGTGGGAAAACTACCCCCCTGAGAAAATATGTGTCGTCCATGTGGATCAACATCCCCTTTCCCAGGGTGGAAACAACAAATGTGAAACGTAACGAAACCCCAAAATTCCATGGTGCATCCTCATTTTCCTAATGACGGGTTGCAATTCGAGTGTCCCGCCATTTAAAAAAAAACACACATATCATGGCAAAAGCAATGCTCAAAACCCTCTCTCGTCCCTTTTCTGCTGGCTGGTTAAGAACGGATTTCCCGGCTCGTGGATTATGAGAATCCCCAATGAATCTAAACCATCAAATAACCATCAAATAACCATCATTTGATCAGCTATAATATCCATATCCCCAAATATATCTCCCCACAGTTTGATTTGCTTCAAACCCTACAAGCCATGGCTCACTGTCGTCAACCTGTAGAGCCTTTAAAATCTGCTGTCAACTGCATCCGGACTCAAACGATCCAGGTTACCCTCTGGTAATTTAACAGTTTGCTATTGAAAATATGGCCATGGAAATAGTGGATTTTCCCATTAATAGCATGGTGGATCTTTCCAGTTCGCAAACTGTTAGTCATTACCAGAGGTCCACCAGGTTCACTGAGCCATCCAGCCACCCCAAAGCTGGTGGTCATCTGCTTCACCCTTGGTTTTCCGGTGGAACTTGGCTGGGAAATCCCAAGAACACCACCATGAATGGAGGTGTCCCTTAGAATGGTGTGCCCAATAGAAGCTGGATGGGAAAACAATGGGAAAATCCATCTTGAAATGGATGAGAACTGGGGTGCCCCCATGACTTGGGTGAAAACCTCCATCTGTTTTCGATGAAAACCAGAAATGCCGAGAAAATCCATGGCAAAATCCACGTGGCCCAGCTATGGAGGTGTAGGAAACGCTGGGATCTTCCAGCGATGTGACTGACACCAGAGGGTGGTCATCCAATCCGTGGCCGATATTCGCCTGAGATGGCCCAACAATAGTTGAAAAATATTGCCGTAATACCCTCTGGTAAACAACATAGCTATGGAAATTGCCATGACCAATAGGAACATCATCTATAAATGACCCAAATTTTCGCTATCTTAGTTTTCTGGAGGGTAGATTCCCCAAAATAGTGGAGATTTACCAATCAGAACATCAACAACTCCGCTTCTTCTGCCAAGTATTCCAAGTATCCCAAGTATCCATTAATTCTATGTGTATATATATATAGCATACGTTGAATTAGATTTCATGATTTGAATTCCCATGACATTCCAATCATATCTATGAAATACCCATCATGGTGACTCAGCCCATTGCTTCTGGTCGTTGGATTTCAGCTGCCGCTGTATGTTCATCATGTCGTTGTCAAGACGCTGCACGAACGCCTTCGCCGCGGGGGTCACTAAAACCTGGTGGATTTTGTTTCGAAAGATATGGGTGTCATGGCAAAATCATGGGAAAACCACAGGCATTATGGGATAATGCATGAGATATCACTTTGGAGGTGGAGAATTTCATGGAATTCCCCATTTTCATAAATGAGGGTCCCATTGCAAATACATGGCTATGGCTCAAAAACGTGTATGGATCGTTATGCAGTGATCTGGACGTATGGAACAAAGGAATTACGCAAATGATTTCAAATGATTTGTATCTCTTCAAAAGGGTATAGATCAGGGGTATGGATCGTCTGGGGTATGGATCGGGACCTGATCAGCTGTGCGTCCGGGGTATGGATCGGGACCTTACATTTTGAGCTGCAGCCATATGTCTATAAATAGCAACCCCCAAACAGTGGTTGAACTGTGGGAAACCTGGAAATTATGGCCTGGTAAGTATCATCCATAAATATCCTGGAAAAACTCTTCAGCTTCCCAAACAAAATCATCAACCAATCATCGTTTGTCAATTATATTGTATCCCTGTTCTTGCATTCCTAAACCACATTGAACCTCCAACAAAATCATCCCCCAACAAGAATTAAGAAGCCACGGCTCAATTGTTCACTAACCTTTATCTGGTTGGTGGTATACCTACCCCTCTGAAAAATATGAAAGTCAGTTGGGATTATTATTCCCAATGTATGGAAAGTCATAAAATTCCATGGTTCCAGTCACCACCAAGCAGTTTATATTCATATTATAATCCTCCCATATACCTATCATCCTATCCTCAGTGCCCTGCTGGAACGATAGGCCCTGCAGGGATCTCACCGCTCCTCCAAATCCTTGAACTCCTTTGTTGAAGAATAGTTCTTTTGCATGTCCTGGCTGCGTGATGCAACGGGGGCCACAACGGAGGCCACAACCGGCCACCAAATACGGGGGCCACTTCCGAGTCCATGGATTCCGACAATCCGAAAATATCCAACAGGAGTTTCAAACGCAGCCACTGCTCAATTGGACATCCACCCAATATCCCGTTCAAATAAACAGTTAAAACATGTTAAAACCACATTTTTGGAGATATCCCAGCAAGTATCTCCATCATATCCACATGATCTTGCCATATGGTTTTCCCAGTTAGGTTTCATGATGGTTAAACCCTTATGATATCCCCATGATGCCCCTTGTTTATCATAGTCAAAAATTATTCAAGTGTCAAAAGCTTATGATATCTCCATTGTATCCCATATATTCTAATCTATTCACATTGCATTAAAAGGTCTGCATAGACCTTCACATTCCATGATACTTCAAACCCTTCTAAAATCATATACCCTCCAGTTATTTAACATAGCCATGGTATAGATGGCCCTAATCGAAATAGATGGTTTACCTATTGCACGGTGGATCTTTCCATGGCGAACTGTGAATGTCATAACCAGAGGGTCTTTTCTATGGCCCTATGTATCCCAGTTCCGCCTGAAGCAGTTGCTCTTGCGAGCTTTCTACTCCACTTCGAACAGCATTGACCTGGCGCGGAAACGATTCAAGTTGGCTCCTGGCTTGGAGGTTGTTGGAGATTGGTCCAAAAAAATTGCCAAATTGACATCCAAAAATGATGATTTAACAAGCTACCCTCTGGCAAACATACAAAAAACTATGGAAAATCACCATTTTTAACAAGCTAAATTGGGATAAAATGGGAATTTTACCCGCTGAATGTGGGATTTAAGATGATTTAAACAGGTTTGTTGCCAAAACGTATGGTGATTTGATAACATCTTCATGGGATATATTTGGGATATCAGGGTTGGTATCTTTACCACCAACTCTTGCTGGGAGGTCACCCGAACTGGAAGGTTCAAAGCCATAGTTTTTTACTGCAGCTTCGTTTGTGCTTTCCTGTATCGATGTTCCCTTCTGCGAACAAGACGTAAAAACGTTGGTGATAAAAATACAGTGTATCAGTTCGTATGAAATAATTGGAATGTTTTCGTTGTATATTTGAATATCAGATAATTCGAATATTGGATATGATCTTCAAACACAATTCAATAAGCGATAAAACTATCCAATCGAATGAGTTTCAGGCCACTTCCTAACCACCAAAAACGTCAAACCGCCAGTGAGAGTCATCCCAATCATGTACTGAACTGGGCCATCGACCAATTGAAATTGTTTTTTTAAAACGTACGGCATCCAAGCAAAAATTTAGCGCTTAATTTCACATTACTAAACAACATTGCTGATCCCATCATCCCATCCACCTACTAATAATAAACACCCATTGTAAGTATGGTAGCCAATATGTGACTTCATCCCCTACATCCACCATGGTTTCGATTGGGGGTGTTTAATCTTGAAGAGGGAAGGGATTCATGATTGAGCATCATGTTTGTTAATGGTTGTTGGTTCTTTCCGGAAGACTGGAGTATGAACCCGCTGAAGCGGTTTTCTCCTCTTCAAAGCAGGACGGTCCATGTGAATGGTTCGAATAAACAAAGAGAAAAAGGAATGGTTATGGTTTACAGCCGGGAAAATGGTGGGACGTTGATTTTCGAACCATTCACTTTTAAATGAACCACGGGATTTCCTTCCAATTTATTGATGAAATATCAAACAATTTACAAATAAGCTACCCAAGCATACCGAAACATGAGTCTTTACAATCACTGGTCTCATCTAGCCATATCAATATGGGATAAAATTGGTATGGAGTCAAAGTTATCAACCACTAAATGAAGAGTTTATATATATATATACATAAGTTTCCTTAACTGGGGGTACCCCAAATGGATGGTTTATAAGGAAAATCCTACTAAAATAGATGACTTAGGGGTACTCCCATTTCAGGAAACCTCCACTATATATATATATATTTATTTATTTGTTTAAATTGATTATGTCCAAATTCACATATCAATTGGTCTCCAACTTCGACCCATTGCCATATTTGACATTATCATACCGAATCACATCAACATGGCCAGTATCTTTGATACCCAGCAAAATTTATGCTTTCGAGCTCATTAATAAGTGTGAAAAAAAAGATAAATTACTATAAGAATAGCAAATTACCTATATATAAAAAATAAAAATTTTACTCACATGGTTAAATTTATAACACTGCCCATGAGTATATATTTCCTTTTACTGCATACGGTTAAACAAATTAGCCAGTACTAAAGTCTCGATCCAGCTGGTGGACAATTTCGATCACTACATCTACGTTCTTGTTACGAAGTACTAATGCAAATAAAAAAAGTAAATCATGACTAATCACTAATTACATCTAATAACGACCAAGCACATCATATACTAGGCACTTATTACTAAGTCCTTGTTAAGAATCAGTAAGACACGTAGTAAACCTTGTGAGTACCTTAGGTTTATCAGAAATTTTATTCCTTGCTACTATTGAGTCCTAGGTTTTATGTATACAATGGCCAAGTTGATATGAAGCAGTTGATATTCATGGCCAAGTTTTATTCATCTATTCAACTGATTCCTTTACAATCCGTTGATACTAGAAAAAGTATATAATCCATTAGAATGTGCCCGCGTTTCATGTGATATTTATCATTATCTCCATGGAACTTGCCAAACACCCATGGAATAAACAACGCGACTGTCATCTTCCAATCATTATCATTTTCCAGTATAAACATTATCAATATATATATATATACTAATCATCCACATCAATGGCCATATCTCCCACAAGCTCCCATCGGCTCCGACGCCGCGCCGCGTCGGCTGCCTCCTCCACAAACTCCCCACGGAGCAGATCTACGACCTACGAAGTCTCAGTTTGGGCGGGGAAACCAAGTTGGGAGGTTTGATCTATTATAGTATAATATTATATATATATATATTATAAATATATATACATTATTTATTTATTTATTCATTTATTTATTCATTTATTTATTTATTCATTTATACATATCCATATAATTAATTATATATATATATGTATGTGTATATGTATACTCATGTATATTATATATATATATGTATTCATGTATTGTGTATTGAATATGTATGTATACAGTACCCCATCAAGCCAACTGGAAATTTAACCCAGTATACACTATACAAGAAAATTGATGGTGTATGGTATACAAGAAACCACTTTGAATGCTTGGGATTTACCAGGTCGAGTTACGATCGCCCGACATGGGGCAGATCACCCAAGTTTCAAGCATGGCACATATGGTTTTGGCGACCTTTGATTTGGGGCACTGTTTTGGACACGACTGGTCTCTTTTGGATCTGAAACTGTCCAGTTTTTTGTTGGGATTGTTCATTTTGAGCCATTCTCAAATGACTCATGGAGTGTGAACCATCAACCAAATATGGTCATTCACACCAAAAACGTTGTTGTTTCTCAAAAAAAACTGTAGTCCTATTGATGAACAATGAGAAGAATCATCTCCATTTGGCTGGTATATTGTAATTCACCAACCTGAAATTACTTTACTTCGTGTGATCCCCACCATGACATTTATACATTTTCTTACTGGCAAATCTTCTGGCATTCTATCTGACATATCTTCTGACATTCTATTTGACATTCTATCTGGCATATCTTCTGGCATATGATCTGGCATATCTTCTGGCATATCTTCTGGCATTCTATCTGGCAAATCTTCTGGCATTCTATCTGGCATATCTTCTGGCACTCTATCTGACATATCTGGCATTCTCTGGCATTCTATCTGGCATATCTTCTGGCATATATTCTGACATATCTTCTGGCATTCTATCTGACATATCTTCTGGCATATATTCTGACATATCTTCTGGCATATCTTCTGGCATATCTATCTGACATATCTTCTGGCATATTTTCTGGCATTCTATCTGGCAAATCTTCTGGCATTCTATCTGGCATTCTATCTGGCATATCTTCTGGCATATCTGGCATTCTATCTGGCATATCTTCTGGCATATCTTCTGATATCTTCTTCTTTCTGGCATGCTTCTCTTTCTAATCTTTCTTGGCATATCACATTCTTCTGAGGCACATTCTTTGTCCCATATCTTCCTACATGAGGTCCGGCAGGGAACACTTGGCGTGGATACTCGCGGTTGAGGTCCGGCAGGGAACACTGGGCGTGGATGGTCGTGGTTGAGGTCCGGCAGGGAACACTGGGCGAGGATGGTCATGGTTGAGGTCCGGCAGGGAACATTGGGCGTGGATGGTCGTGGTTGAGGTCCGGCAGGGAACACTGGGCGTGGATGGTCGTGGTTGAGGTCCGGCAGAGAACACTGTGGATCGCGGGTCGCAGTTGAGCAAGGACGACGAGGACGACGAGGACGACGAGGAGGACGAGGAGGAGGAGGACGAGGCAGGAGGAGGCGGAGGAGGAGGAGGAGAAGGAGGAGGAGGACGAGGAGGCAACTGACATAAAATCTAACAACCCTCACCTGGCAGGTGGGGAATAAAGGAAATTTTCGGATGATTCCCCTTCGCAACCAATGTCATGACGTCATGGTGAGGCCATTGTAATCTTAACCACGATCAATGAACGGAAAAGGATATGGGATGATATGTGGCTTTGTCCAAGATGTGGTACAGCAAACCCCAAATAGATAGAAAAGATGGAGACCAGGAAATTATTGTCATAGTTGTAGCCACAAAATATAATCCCAACTGCACCCCCAAGTAGTAAACATCAAGAAAATCTGAACTTGGCAATCCCAAACTGATGAAATCTCCACAATCTTTGGATGCTCAGATGAAGGCCCAACCCAACCCGGTCCTCTCCAAAGGAGCTTCGAAAGCTACTGCGGCAGATGATCAGATTCGATGAGCTTGGACGAAGTTTGAAAAGAGGTGGGTTTATCTGAAAATGAACTATCCAGGACATCCATGAATATCCCAAATCTATTCTCCATTCAATGGCAATTTTCAGGGCCCCATTTTCAGACCCGGGTGTGCTCCAGGCTTCAAACTTCATCCAGCTAGATTCAGAGTTTCCAAACAATTTCCGCCTCAGGACCTCTCTGAGAAAATCCTCTTTCACGCGGATTTCCTCGGTCAGAGGTCAAACCAAACCTCAACATGTTGACCGCCCACAGCGTCTGATTTTGTGCCACGAAGGACGCCTCTTGATTCGTAAAAATCCGTCCATTCAGAGAATGTGTCTTGTTTTCAATGGAAAATATGACAACATAGCAGAATATGAAAGATATGACGTCTTAAGCTAACATTTAGATATCAATTTAGGATTAATGTCAACCCTGGATTAATAAACCCTTAGGCTGTTTAATTGGAGGGGGTACCAGTTAAGTATCGGTTTATGACTATTGGGGAAGTACCTCCCCTAATTAATAAACTATGGTTTATTATGAATCCGGGCCAAGATATCATGTTCCCAATGAGACAATGCCAAATTCACCAAGAATCGCCATCAACATCCACGAAGACACTCAGCAGCTTCCTGGATGTCGTTTTTTCAGGCGTAATGCTACGAGATACGACGAGTTGGATGTCGTGTACCCTCTGGTAAACATACAAAAAACTATGGAAAATCACCATGATTCATGGGCAAATCAATTGTAAATGGCCATTTTCAATAGCTATGTTGGTTTACCAGAGGGTATACTGTACACTGACCATGTGCAGTCTCTCTCTCTCTCTCTCGCTCTGGCGCTGCAGGTTTTATTAAACTCGGTGGCCACAGATAAGCAATCAATCCCAAGACATTTGCTTGAAAGTCTGAGATACAAAAAAAAACTCAAAAACATATGAGAATCATTCGTCATATTCAAACTCTTTTAAGTTATCATTTATCATGTTCTCAAACTTGGGTCTGTCAAAGCTCAGGATTGTCCCCCTGTCAAAGAACATGATGGAATATCTTGTCATGGCAATTGAGCAGTGTTCAAAACCCGAAAACATACAAAGGTTGGTTGAGAAACGGGACTCCCCATTCATGGATTCTGATATTCCCCAATTAAATCTGTAAGGGTAGGATACTAATCCATCCCGAATATATAATAATATAATATATATAAATCATCAAAGAACCATGATTTTTCAATTACCCTCTGGTTATTTAACATAGCTATGGAAAATGACCCATAAAAATAGATGATGTACCTACAATAAATGGTGATTTTCCAGTTCGCTATGTTAAATGGCCAAATGGTATACCAAATGTCCACAAAAATATCCCCATAGTGTGATGATTAAAACATGTTAAAACCCTGAAATCCCAGCTCACTCATCAACTAACCAGGGTGTCCGATGCAGCCATTGCCGCCCCACCATCCAGCTGGGTTCCCCCTACAACGGAATCTCTGGAAGTTGCACTTCCATCCAGCGAAAATGGTTCTACTGTCCCTGTTGAGGGAGGTGATCTTCCCCAAAAATGGGTTGGTACCCAAAAAAAAATCCTTGCTGATTGACATATTCTAGTAACCCTCAAAAAAATAGAACATAATTTGCCACTCACTATCTCTGTAGGATTTGAGCAAAGTCTATTTTTGCTGGTGATTTATTTCAATAGTCATACAAAGCGAAACCCGATGGGGATGGAATATCAGCACATATCAGAACCCTGAGTGCTTGGTGATTGAGCTTTTGAACCACTAAACAACAAAATCACAATTCATAGAGAAAGCCATGGTTTCGGGGCGTCTCCCCTGTCAGAAACACCAAGAAAACAAGTTCCTCTCAACTACTAAGAAGCAACCCTGGGTTTTGCATTGCAGATTCCATTTTGAGGTTTGAAATCAATTGTCTAACACTGTTTTGCTGGGCCATTTCTGGTCAAAGTCTTGATTTCTTGGAACGTTGTTGGGTGGCACCAGCGTTCATCTTTGACATGGTGCAATATTGATGTGCGTTTCACTCCCTGATGTTGCTTTGAACCTGAAACCAGTGACATCGATTACGCAATAATATGCATTGCACAAGTTCAAAGGCAATTTCATCCCAGGTGAAACTTGGCCGCAGCCACCCAACACAAACGAATCAAAACAAGAACCGATACATCTTCCGTGCGATTATGATCACATCGCCCGACAGCCGTGGGAACTGTATTCCAAGACTACCTGAAGAAGTTTATTTTTCCGGGGGCCGGGGGGGGGGCAGTTTTTTTCTTCTTGCATTGACAGCATTGACAGCAAAACTGCCTGAGTTGCTACCTAAGATCTATAGCTTGGACCTTGAAGTCCGACATTTGCTCACCATGTTATCACTGATAAAAGACAGCCATGTGGCATTGATCACAACAAATCCACCACCGAATGAAATGAGTGGTGTGAGGCTATACAACTAATGGCTGCAAAGCAGAGATTCCAACCACTTGCCAGGCTCAATCCGGGTCCCAAACTGGTATAGCGAGAAGCCCCATGCAACCACAGATGTTCATCATTTTGGGGATATGACATATGGTTTTAGGATGTTTTAGGATTCACATCTAAAGCCGCCCAACTTTGGGGGGACCCAAGTTTGATCCATACCCTCTGGACCCCATGGTGTTGGGTGGCGCGTCTTTGTTCATACAATAGGATGCACTCCAAAGTCTCCAAAGGCACCTTTGGCCCGAAAATTGAAATATGTTGAAATCACAATTATCATAGCGAACCTGCAAAACTGAGAGGCGAAGCAGGGGACTGGAGATGTGTTCCCCAAAATCACATGTTGGCAGACACTCGCAGACATGTCCAGTATTTCTTGTACTAAGACAACTCGCAAGGGTGCTTGTTGCACAGGTATATGGATAGGGTCTTGCACTGGGGAGAACTTGCTGACAAGGACAGCTGATGAAAAGGTGCCCAGTATGTTGTGATAAGCCCAGCATTTACAGCTTTGGTTTTTGAATGTTCATCAAGTGTCCCATGTTTGCTAATGAACAATGTAACAAAGCTCCCTGAGATCTGCTTGGCAGCCCCATAGTCATGCTTATCATTCCCCTGACCTTTTTGATGATGGTTCCATTGCTTCATGAATCGTCATTACCAGCCAAAATTGGCAGGCACATGAGACACCACAGAGCTGTTCCCGGTGCCAGGCCTTATATTTCATGCCTTGGGCGGAGCAAAGATGCAAACAACATCTGGGACTCAAAATTATTCAACCCCCAAAATCGATATGGGTAGAACAAAATACGAGGGAACAAAATGGAACAAATGCCTACTCCTCTGCTATCGGTGATCTTTAGGCTATGTCATGTGTTGCTGAAGATAGTCAAACGCATAACAACAATTAACAACATACCTGTTCTGTCCTTGCTCAATCTGATAATCTGATTTGTTCTTGAAGGCCATAGAAATTGAATGGGTGGCACAGCGTTTCAACCGAAAGAATTCCATGTTGGGTCCCGGGTCAACTCTGCTGCTTTAATCAGATTCGTGGTTGAGCCGTGCTCAGTTTTTGGCCAGTGGCTTATGATGATGATGATGTGGCAATGGGTTCCCTGATTCATGTGTCCAAAACCGGATGTGTAAACATCCCTTGTATGGACTCGCACTATCCCCGCCCCGTTTCATGTTTTCATCCCCACCAAATGCCAGCAGTTTCACCAGGTTTCATCCGCTGACATTCCCACCTACTATATCCTACTATGCCATTGTGACACTGCAGTGCTTTGGGCGCCACCCGTGCAGCCAAGAGGCTGTGCCCATCAGCAGGTTCACCATTTCTGTCTCGCCCCCAGCGAGATCCAAAGGTGTTTCGCCTGGGAACCACAGCTGACATTCGAACTGACCCCTTCCAATATATCACATCTCATTTCAAGTGATCAACATTCGCACTGCCCATTATACACATTGGCTCACGGGTATCCAAGAAGAGTCCCCTCTGCAAATGTCAAAGACAAGGATGAACTCCAAAATTACCTGTTTCAACAAAATGTGCTGCATTGATCGCGACAGAGACATGACATGCCCCAAAATCACGGCTCTAGAATTTCAAGGGAACTTTGAAGACGGGAACCTGAGATGAGAAATCCAGGGAAATCCCATGCTGATTGAAGTTAAAAGAACCTGAAATTTCAAATTTTCATTCATCAAAACATGCCACATTGAACTGCAGCTATTTGTTGATATTGCCGGTGAAAAACTGTTTTCAAAACGGGTGTGACATCGGCTGAGGCCCCCAGCCGTCGTCGTTCTTGACGTCCACCGAGGCCTTCGCCGCCAGCAGCAGCTTGGCGCTCTCCACGTGGCCGTGGAGTGCTGCATAGTGCAGCGGAGTCCAACCTCAGCACCGCAGGCGTCGGAGGCACCACCCGCGGCGGCTCCGCGGCTTCTGAGCTCCCGGGCCGCCGCTGTCCCGGACGTCCAGGGCCGCGCCCTTCGCCAGGAGAAAGGCGACGACCGCCGTTTCGTCGAAGGCTGCTGCCCGGTGCAGCGCGGCCTCGCGGCGGCGGAGCCCCCCGAGCTCGAAGAGTCGGTCCAGGCAGCGCCGGTCGCGGCGCAGGTGGCCCCGCACCGCCGCCAGGTCGCCGTCGAACGCCGCCCACATGATGTTCTCGTCTCGGCGCGGGGAGAAATGCAGCAGAAATGAAGTTCCTCAGTTCCTTTGATCTTTATGTTCTATCTTCTATAAGTCCAAGTCTGCTACTTATGGAAATTATATTGAATAAGTTAGAAACTGAACTTATTGAACTTTTATAAGTTCATGATGTTCACGTTGTGGAACTTGAAGTGCAACTTCAAATTACTTCTATAACCTTCTAGATCTTCTACCTGAGGTAGCATCAAGTTCTATCTTTAGTCAGTAAGGACTGAGGCCCAGACGTTTCGCCGCTGCCGCTTCGTCGGCTTCGACTTGTTGTGGATCTTCCGGATCTTCCGGATCGTCCTGGTGTCACAGCTCCCGAAATTGTGTACACACTTTGGATGTTGCCATGAAAAACTTCAGGGAACTCGATAACAACTTATATGTCACCACTACCAAGACGTGAGGCGAAGAAATTGAAAATATCGCCGGCCATTTGCCATGCATGACGTTGATATATGTTCATGACTGTTGACACTGTGGCAAACCCAAGACCATAAACCCACCATTTGAAGATGGATTATACCACCCATTCAGGGTTTTGCTATTGGGTTGAACGCATTGCAATCCACTGATCCAACATCACCAGCCCGTCTTCAACGACAACATTATTCTAGAAACGCTAGGGCTCTCGACATGGTTTACACACTTTGGATGTTGCCATGAGAAACTTCAGGGAACTTTAAAGGACGTAATGATACGTAATGACTGATCACGTGACTTAAGGCAAAGTAACACACACTTTAAGTAACACACACTTTAAGTAACACACACGTTGAAGATTTCGTCTGCTATTGCAATGTATGACGATGATGACAAAGTCGCACAGTGTTGTGTCCTCAGCAGACCTTGGATCAAATTTCAACTTCGCAATCTTGGTTTTGATCATGTTGCTGCTGGTGTCCCAAATGGAAGTTGGGAGCACTTCAACCACCGTAGGCTCCTGCACTGAACCCAAATTAGCAGGCAGCATTGCTCAAGAACCAAGCCATGTCTCACAACAATTCAACTTGACTCCAGACATGACTGTCATGCTATTTTATGAGGTAGCATGGTACCACATGCGTGCAACCTACTGACAAATACTGACAAGACCAGGAATTCAGTTGATGCTTTTACTGGTTGATATGTGTAAAAAAAGTAAAAGGGAAACAAACACAAGATACAGCTCAATTAAACATGTTTCCAGCACCTTTGGGCCAGCTTCTGGTTCCTGAACCGCTGCGCTGGAGCAGGTGAAAAGGTGACTGCACACAGTTGTGGAAGTCACAACTCTCAGGCCTCTCTCAAAATAAGGCACTCCAAAATATAATGTTTGTTTGATCAGCATTTTCTCTTGGAAACCGCAATTAATTAGCGTGTCCCCCTGTGTTTGGAACAATCCACTTTGATCTTCCAAGGTCAGGACCGCAGTGATTTTTGCTGTTTGGCCCGTGGATGAAGCAGGTTCCTGTCCACAGCTGGATCTGAAGCCAGGAAGCACCGCTCTACTCTCGGGGTTCTTCCCATCTATACCAAGAACAGGAGACACAAATTTAATCTTTCACTCACCTCACCGGAATGCAAGCTGTTGAAACGTGTTGAAATACAGACCTCACGTTGATAAAATTGATGATCAGGAAACCCCTTAACCAAACCATGGACGGTGGACCCCCTCCAGGCGCCTTGGTGGCCGCTTCTGGACGTGAATCAGCTTCGGATTGAGTGGTTTCCTTGGGCAAATGCAGATTTCCAAGTGATTCTCATTTCGACCCACCTTTCGACAATGCCTTTCCGACCTTCAAATCTGCAACAGAATGCCTTTGCGTTCA